TCCCAATACAGCTCACACAGCAAACGGAATTCGAACACGTGGATGTCGGCAATACGTATCAGTTAAATTTGAAGCGCTGACGCAATACGACTCACCACGTGTCGGATGTTGCCACACAAAGTGACGGAATATAGGTATTTGATAGGTTTCCATTCTAAAGGCTTTTTAATAAATATGGCAACATTTTGTGACGTTTCATCGTTGCTGACGCGTAATGAAGTGTTTTGAGAGTCATGTGAAAGCAACAGAACTTACGTAACGCATACGGTTTTTTTTTAATAGTTTTTCATTTCTCGATGCGTCCTTAAAGTGTCGGAATATACCGCGTTTACCCTATGTTAACCTAGTAAGGCTTGGTATGACGTCACTATTTCAACCATCAACAAATGCGTGGAACTAAAACAAAGCCTAATATAAAGGAAAAAAGTTGAGAAGTGTCGGAATTACCCACAATGTTGGAATATACTGCGTTTACCCAGTTACCCTATGGCTATGGCCTTTGGCCTATTCTATTCATCAGAGTAATAAATCACATCTCTTTTCCGATCTTATACTGCAGCAAACTGAATTTATTTTTTTATTGATCAACAATTAACAAAATACTTTTTGGTAGTTTCTAGGATAATTTTTCATTAAAACCTTGAAATGTTGATAAAATTTACTAAAAACTTATATTTTTTCTGTAACACTTTATTCCATATCTAATGTAGCCTATTTTCTATGATAAATTATAAGCAGCAATGTCCACACGAAATGAGTAGAAAAATAACATTGTTGAAATGCTCACCTATTTCAGGTTCGAGCTTATTTGCAGGAGCCGAAAATAAACCCATCATTATTCAACGAGAAACCTGCTTTGCTGCGCAACACAAACCACAACCATATCTCATACGTTACTCATTCTCAAATGACTGAAATACAGTTCTTAATCTTTAGAAGTAATCAAAGAAAGTCGGACATGAAACATCAATTGTTATTTGAGCTGCATTTGAACATTATTACTATCCATTTCAATTAGAGTAATAAGTGAAATATCTAACTTAGCATTTATTGAGCCGCTGTGGGCTAAGTTAAAACGAAGCATAAAAATAACATCCCTATAACGTTCGGATAAGCGTAATGTGAATGAATAGCCTAGTGTTAATATATACTATAGCTTTGTTATTTGATTTGGTCTAGATTGATTTCCATTTTGCAAAGTTATGCCAGGAAGAAAAGCATTAAATATTTCTTCCAAAAAAATTTGCCTAATAAGTGTCGGAGCGCTCGGTGTTGTTTGACAACTCTACCTAAAAATTCAATGCACTAAATTCAAGATAGTATGGACAAATGTAATTATACTCTTAGCCGAATTTAAACGCCACCATACCCTGGGCTGAAAGCTTGTGCGCGCTGCATATATTGCAGCTCCGTCAATTCCTCGGCGACATGTTTGATGCCTACTAACATGTCTAAAACAACCGTGTGCGTTGCAAGCGGCAACAGCTGAGATGAGAGTTGAGTAACTTACGCTTCAGAAGAAGATATATGTTGGATAGCAGAAATTATTTTTAATAAAGAATACTCGGGTTAGCCGCAATATCAAAATCGCCTAAATTGAAGCAGCTATTTCGTGTTAGGGACCCGCACGCGTCGTAAAAATTCGCGTTTAAATCAACGACGTAGCCTGGGGCAAGCGCAGCAAGTTTAAGGTTCGAGACAGCACCCATCTATTAAAACCTGGTCAAATTTTTAACGCTGGCACAGTTACACAGCATGTATATTATTGCATTGGAGTGAGTAGTATACGAATAGAGGCCTGCGCGATGCCGTTATCACTGCAGTATTAAGGCTCCAAAGAGGCGTCTTGGCAATCACTGACCAAATGTTTACTAGCGCTTCAGTTATTTATCTATCTCGCACCGAAAGTCAAGATGTCTGAGGGGTCAAGCAATCGCTGAGGAGTTTACTATATGTCAGTAAGCCGTCCCGCCAAATTTAAACGTACAAGTGCTTTGATTGATAAATGCTGGCGTATAAGCTCAAAGACTTTCAAATCCTGTTCCCATAGACTGCCTCAAGCGAGCATCGACGTTAGCACTGGGATCTTCTTAGTGCTTCCATTACAAGAATTTGCCGGAGATAGGAAAAATCGAAGAATGATCCTCATCCATACGAAAATCTATCACCAAGACAAATATTCCAACACTTATGTCAGTGATGACTAAACGCATGTTGGATACAATACTTGATCGACAATAAAGTAACAGATGGCCATCAAAGGGAAGATGAATCATAAGATCACAGCATGTCACACAAATATAATTCAACATACAATTTACACTAGTAGAAAATTACATCAGCAATAACCGAAAAACTTCAAACAGATTAATTCGTCAATTTCAGACATTACAATACCCCTATTATTCCGCTATTCCATGCATGAATAACACGAAGAATTCAATTTGAATAAGTCTTTCTACCTCCTTGCACTCTAGGTCGATTTCGTAACAAAACCTTCGTTTCTTCCTAATCATAATAATATATTTGAAATAAAAATGACAACACATAGGACCAAATCTGCCTTAAATTCGGAAATATTTTTGTGCTCAACAGAACCTGTTCAATCATAATTAAGGAAGAAATTAAAATGGTTTAGAGGTAGACTTATCTTAGAGGTAAATTAATTATTATTTTATTTTAAATGCATAGGTTCACACGACATTTTCTGGTTCATCGTTAGTATGTTCTACTCCCCGATTGAAACGATGGTAATTCTACACAAACTAGGTAAAACAACAGGGAGAAATGAAAAGAAATACAAGGTCAAGTTGACCAACGTCAGACTAGAGTCAACGAAGAACTGTGATTTGAATTATACAAAACTTCATCAGTAGAGATAATATCTGGTATGCTTTTAGATGCAGAAAGGCAAAACGGTAGAGTCAAGATCAGATCAGAGGTCAGGCACTAAGACAAGCCCATTTTTGTAGATAACTGCCAAAAGAAGTCCATCCTATGTTACGTGCCTTGAATGCAAGCATACCTGACCAAAAATTAGTGTATTTAATAAAAATATCTCCTGAACGCACTCGAATGCACAGAGTAAGTCTACAATATCAATAAGATGTTGCTTGTGACATTGCTTAGCCATGATTAGAATCAAATTAGGACAAATTCCAATCGACTTGTGTAGCGCAACACAAATGAAGCAAAAACTATCGAGAACAAAAATGTCAACAATTACAGCAGGCTTATTTTCATGTACATGTTGTTCTTAAATTTACCAAGCAACAAGTAAAATAATGGGCAAATGCTGAGGATGGTCGCTTCACAGTGAACACGGACATCAAGACTAAAAGTAGCAAAAGCTAATTACTGAGGCTACATTTATTAAGTATGTTGTCTGAGAGCTGTAAGTCACGATGTGATAACACGCACATTCACCGAACATTAATTACCACAGTTATAGGAAACGATACATGTCACTGTACATTGTGACACTCACGAGTGAACACGAATACGAAAATATGACCGTCTAACTTCTACTCTCAAACTAGTCGAGTGCAGACACGAAATTGTGATGACAGATCACTGTAACAGTTTAGAGGAAACGGCATCGAGACAGATCGACATTCCTACAATGAAAAAGGGAACACAAAAGCAAGGCTTTAAATAACTCGATGGCATTCACTTTACAGAACCAAGCTCATTCAAGGAAGAAAATATGAAATCATATTAAATTAGCCGTGATTCCATTTACACTCGATCCCATGTTTTTTCCATGAATTTGATAATAAAATGTAATTGAGTAACTGAATAAATGAAACCTGCAACAGAAGAGTTCCTTTCTAGATTCCTAGAATTGATTGACATTAGGAGGCATAAAAGACAAATTGAACTATAGCGTCATTGGTAGATTGTTATTGTTAATATTTTAATGGCAAATGATGCATTAGGTACTAAAGTAAATGAGCTAAGTTTATTCAAAGCCAAGCGATGGTTCCGTATTATCTCAAGCCACAACCAACAGTCCATCAGCTACTAGTTAGACAAGGAGTCAACAAATATTCAGTAAACAGAAAATCGTGCAATTAAATTTTATTCATGACAGGTTTTTACGTAACTATATAGTTTACAAGCTGGTCACTTCTATTATCATGTGTCATGCTGAACATCACAATATGCATACGTCGTAATGAACTATCGTCAATGAACAGCAATAGTAACGAAGAGACCTTCAACATATATTATAAGTTCAGAGACAAAGTGCGATCTCATCCCATTTCAGTACACGTACAAATTATGAAATACAAGTACAATTGTGGGTATTGTCAGAGCACATCACAAGCGTTACAAATAGATACTCTTGAAAGCTGTACTCTTTCTATATAATAATTACATCATTATAATATTGACTTATCGAAAATATCTACAATTCAAGCCTAGGTTAAGCGATATCAGTAAATACCAAATGGAAGAATTCTTTGACTTTTCTCAAGACATTTGTACGTGGGCGAGAAACTGATTCATTCTTGAATGAGTGTAATTTTTTAATAATAGTTTTTAATTAAGAGGAAATGAGGAAAAAATCACGTAAAGCTGAGAGTGCTTTACGTTGCGATGCCTAGCCAACATCAAGAAGGTAGAGCAAAGTTAACAGTGGCGAATTTCTGAGGGCGATCGAGCACTGCTTTCTGCACACGAGCGTGTAATAACGAGGGTAAATCGATCTTCATAATTCAAAAGTCATCAACACTAGTGACTAGACACAGCCTTAATGGAAATCTTCCACAAACCAATAATGCGACAATCACAAGCCCAATCCTCCAACAAACAAGGGTAACAACTAAAGAATAGAACACTTTTTTAAGAAAGGAACACCCAGAATTGTCTATATAAGCTATTCAACACAGCTATGGGAAACCCCAGTACTACAATAATTTGGTAGACTTAGTAGTGGGTTTTGCACCGAAATAATTTTACTGATACCACATGAGTCGGTACCTAATTGAAGACGTTGAAATACACAGAATCTCAGCCATAAGTTGCGCGTATTAATGGCAGGACGTAAAGACGCTTTCATTCATGATACGAGCAAGACATGAACTACAAGGCCAGAGTTCTTTTTGAAAATTGAAGACACATGAGTCTTGAGTTACTCGTAACGATAATATAAGTAGATAAGTAACGATTGTTACGAATTGAACTGTGACGTTAATCTTGATTACAATGATGAACGGAGGTCCGGCTGAGAAGTTCATAAACGATATTCAGAATCGCTGAAGCGTCGAAAAATATGCAAATTAGTTACAAAAATTTGAAAATCCTAATGCATGAACAAGCACACACACAAACCAAGGCCTTGACGACTACATATCGTTAACAAACAAGTAAAAATTTAATTCTCAGGCTTTCTTGCAATTCCATTAACTGAAATTACGTCTCGGTCTGAAAGCTCAATCGAAATTAGTGATAGCAGATCATAGACGTGTTACTCATGGCCCTTAACGTGACAAAAAAATTACAGAAAAGGACATAAAAGGAGTTCACTCTTGTATACAATAACACAACTATTATTCGGAAACACTTCCAAGTCTCTTGGAAGTGGGATTTTTTTTTGCATATTGCAAGGAACTTGAAAACATACGTAACATATGTGATATGTGTGAACCCACACTAAACAGAGATTACGTTTCTCTTAGACATTATGAAGTGTGCCTCGCTAACATGACACAAACTCGTATGAACAAGGCCTACTGCTGTGCATGTCGCATCATATGCTGCTACTACTACCGAAGATTTTTGAGCAAAATCGAGGTATTTTAAATGTAGGATAAACATAAGGAACGTACTTATTATCCTAAGAAAAAACAATGAAAATCTCAAAAAGAAAAAAAACGGTTGAGACTAAAAGCACTAAAAAGCTGAAAACAAAGCATTAATGAACTACCCAAGTATTAGTACAAAATTGCCCGCTTCTCAAAAAGATATACGTGTGATTCATCAGCACATACTATCCTATAACAGACACAGGACACCCCATAGATTATGTCTATCGCCAGAATAAATTTAAAATAATTATCGATAACCCAGCAGCTCGCCAACTACAGCTTCTGAGTATAATGAGTATTATGCACGTACATTTAAGGTAATTGTAATAAACTGGATAACATGAGTTGTGAATAAATGCATATACCATGCTAAATAAATGAAAAATTAATCAATTGCTCGGTAACTTTCCTCTTGTTTATCTTTTATTTAGCAATCACAATAGTTTTACCGTGAGGAAATTCACGCTGTGTTGCGTCAGAATATTCTATCAAAATAAATTGAAAAATCATTCTTAGATTCATGCAGCAATTACTTCAACTTTCACCAGTGTGCAAAATTGGAAAAAAATTAATCGCATACAACGAAAAGAAAATTATGCGTGAAAAAAATGAAAAATGAATATAATTCAAATTTTCATACACTTGGCCAAATGTGCAAGTCTACAACTTCACATTTAGCCGGCATACAAATGGTCTAGTTCCTAAATGCATTCATTGCAAGTTTGTGCGATACAAATCTATCATTTCAAGTAATACAAAATATCAGATTAACCTTACATACTTCATTTAGAAAATATCATTCGCTTCTTTGCTATATTACTTTCTACCGAACACAATAAATTGAATACCTACACGCTTTTGTGTAGAAAAAAATGCTTGTCTTAAAGTTTATTACTCACAATTATCTCAGCGTTATAAATTAATTGGCGTTTTAACCGTTTTCAGTCTATTTATTTAAATCATCACATTACATACTATTCAAATTTAAGTCAAACTTTTTAATTGAAACATTTTTTTTCTTTACAGATGGAAGATTCTTTTTAATGTAAATGGTAAACATAGTGGGGTTGCATTGCTCATTTGACCGTCTTGATGCCTAGACGTTATTACGGCTTTTATAAAAATCGGTTAGCTAAGCGTTATCTCCAAGTTGACTTTAGGCCAAAAATGGAGGTCCTGGAATTCGACTATCAATGAGCTCAGCTTCAAGATACCAAGACACTCGAGGTCATCATGGTCCAGTTAGGTTAAGTTTTTGAATAAAATATTTAAACTTTATCCTAAATGGTTCCTATAACGCCCTAGGCACTAATCTCAACAAAATTCATTGACAGGTTTTAGTTTGGACACAAAAATGTCCACTAAATGTGTGTTGAACACCGAGCTTGCTTACTTCATGTAACTTATGAGTCAAGCAATAACTTTCCAGTTACAATATCACTCGCCCATGCTTGGAAATAATTCAACAATTTCTAGGCTTTGAGCACATCACACACAAAAAATTTAATGTATACGGCACTCCCGCCATCTCTATAACGACTTCAAGTCCAAGAACACAAATACAATTTTTTACAGAAACAAGAACAACTCAAAAGATAGCTTCATGTCATTCAGCTTTCTCTCTCAAGATGGAGGCGGTGACGGGACCAGGTACGAGGTGGTCTTTATCATGCGCAAGGCGAAGGTCTTTCTTGGACACCACGGTTGGGTCGGAGGTAAAGAACCCGGACCCGTTAACTTGCAACCCGGACCCGTTAACTGGCGGGTCCGACGAGCCGTTGACAATTAAGCCTGACACGCGCGAGCCTCCTCCGTTCAGGGATGGGACTGTGTCATTGGCATGCTTCTGACGATTTTTGAGCTCACTCGTATCATTTAATGTAACTCCATCCTTGCTATTCGTCAGATTTACCCCATTTACTGACAAATTTCTATCTTGAATAGTCAAATCATTGGAGGTTGTGGGCAAATTTTTCCTATTCGCTGATACTGGAGCGTTATTGACGAGCGCATCCTTCCCCTTGTCAAGAGGATCAGCTCCATTAACAGTGGGGCAGCTCGCTGATGGCGCTACGTTTGTCGTTGATTCATTGACAGGCGTTTCCCTTTCGTTGTCCGTTGAAGAAGAATCAACGGTCGGATGTTCCGATGATGCAGAAGAAGTATCATTATTGTTGTTGTTTTTGAGAGCCGAGGGCGTTGAGAGACGGGCTTTTCTCGCGGCAGATGAAGATAGGCTGTGAAGTCGAAGGCGTCTGGAAAATTCCTGTTGGTATTGTTCCCGCCACTCCTTCTTGACAGCGCTGCGCTTCAGGCCACCGTCCCTGAGAAGCGCGATGATAGTAATTACACAAAATATTTGTAGTGATCAAAGAGAAAACATTAGCTGGAAATCTAAAATAAGTACTTCGCTTAATTATGGAAATTAACGGTACTGCGCCATATCCAGTTAATGATGGGCGTCAGGAAAATCATATGGGGGACCGGGAACACGTAGTATTTAAACAAAAAATAGGCTAAATAACTCGAAAAATAAACAATAAAGTAAGAGTATATACTTATTACACATTAGCATATAACTGCAGTAATTTGCACCACCTACATAGATCATTTCCATCAACTCATTTGCTCACCAGATCAAGTCGACAAGTCCGCCTTGCCTCGCGATTTCGGCCTTGACGCGGTTGGCGAAGTCGATGCTGGTCTCACCCTCACGTATGGTCATGGGTGGCAGGTACCATACGTCACACACGATTGCCCACGACGTCATCATCATGAGGATGTAGCTCATCATGCCGTACTCGCTCGAGTTCCAGAAGGCGTCTCCTGTCGGACTGATACTCATGAAAAACGAATCATATTTTTATAGAGCTTTACGTTAACCTACAGGATATTTCATGATTAACATAAAACCATGCAAGTTTGAGACACGATTACCTGTATGAATAATATTAATTATGACTTGATTTGAAACACATAACTGACGATAAGAAGGCCATTAGATAACTCGCCGAACGATTTCGAGAATCACAGGGGAGACTTTTTAACAATTCGTCCAAAAATGTCTATAGATTATATTCCAAAAACACGGACAAATTTCAAGCAGCAAACGAGAAGTCAAGGTACCTTGATGGCGACCGGATAGATGGTGCCGCCCACTTCAAAAGTACCCTTCTTGAACTGCATGACAGAGGTGTTGTTGATGCACGTCCCTTCGGGGAAAATCAGGATAGGCAACTTGTTCGGGTCTTCCACGTGCTCCCGCAGCCTGAAAGAAATTCGAGTTTCACGTATCTGTCAATTTTTTTTATTCCCATAGAAAATGCTCTTTTGAATTTCAGAAAAATGCCTATTTAAATTCTTTAAGCTCTTAGTTCAACTCTTTAAATGCTCATTTAAATTCTTATGTGCTTTAGAGAGATGATGCTATTCATGGGCTGATAATTAGTCATCAGCATAGTAACGTAACAAACACAAAACATTAACAAACTGCTTAGGGCGGAGATTCTAAGTTACCATAAACAGGAATTATCCTTCCACAAGATTACACAAACTCCAATATAAGAGCATAATAATAAATGTGAAAAAAGGGCACCTCTTGGCGACAGCATATCTGTCCTTGGCCTCGCTCCTCTCGAACCAAATGTGCGACGAGGCGCGCGAGAGCGCCGTCTGCAGGAGACCCAGGAAGCCCCCGTGTCTCTGCCCCACCTGCGTCACGGGGGGGAGTAGTGGGTATATAGACCGTGGGGCGTCACGGGGGGTATTAGCAGTCACGGGTATTGAGTATAGAAGGGATAATCATAATTATTTGTAATTCACAACTATCAAATATTGAGCCGAAAAATATAGGGATGCTTAACCCATTAACGCCCAAATTTTAAGGCAGATGGAATTTATGCCCATTTTAGCCGGCCGCAGAAATGTTCGCCAATTGTTACTTTAAAAAAGGTTGGGCAACTACAGCTAATTGCTTCACATTAAAAGGTCTAAAAAATGAAATTACCCGGTCTAATGAATTTTTCTTCCCTTCAACAATCAATGCTCATTTAAATTCTTTATTTAAATCGCGTTACTTATAAAAATATTTCCGAATAACTGCTATAAATATGCGCTAGTTATCTACCTATATAAAAAGTCTCCGATATTGACGTGGAGAATCCCCATTATTAGTCCTAAGATATCCTCGTTGAATCCTACGTACCTTCAGACGACTTGTACAGGCAAGTTAAGTTGATGGACAAACACCAAGCCAAGCCAGGAACAATTAATTAGTAGCGCCCAGCAACACGTAAGGTTAGCGAGCAAGCTTTGCAGGACCAGAGTAGCGACTACGTATAATGGACTGCCGGATGTGGCAGTCATTTAAAAGCAGCAGTGATATTTTATTGGTTGTAAGAAATTCTTTATCTTTCATGACATCCACATGCCGTGCATCATGCACTCAGTGAAGCCTTGACGTGTAAGTGTTATCAGCGTCGCTGCAAGTCCGGAAACCCAAAGAGATGTGAGCAGCAAGCGTTACATGAGACAAGAAACACTTCACAAACTCACGCGCACTTCGTACTATGACAGCAACGAACATCAGACAAAAGAAAAAGAATTGTTAGAGGCTTACAAGACGCCGAAATTATTTAAAAACTATACTAGATAAAACATTAAGATTTATTGATGAAAATCCCACAAAAAGTACAAGCTGCTTGCATTTTGGCTGAACACTGAATTAGATACAAGCACCTAGTTTATAGAGATATATGCAGCAAATAGCATTACATACCATAACCGATCATAATTAGAAATTAGAGTTTTTCAAAAATAGATAGGATAGGAACATGGATAGTTTGCCAGGTTTTAATTAACCTGAATGACAAGAGACTAAAAAATGTCGCAGTAATGGTTAAAAAACAAAATTTTCGAGTCTCATTCGAGTATATGGAGCCAAGAATAAACCAAGGACCTCAGCATGAACTTCAAGCAGAAAGCGTAGCAAATGAATAGCCTCACATTCACCTTGAAGTCATATTAGGGCTTCTAAAGCACAAAAAAATCACAATTACATAGAGGAGGAATCAGATCGCGGGTCAATCCATGAACAGCGCTTAATATCAATGCGGAAACGGAGGCTTCAGAGTTTGTTTAAACAAGCAGCGTCACCATAACGTCTTTAGAAAAGGTAACTGACAATACGGAGATGAGATTCGTTCGCTTCACAAAAAAATCAAGGTTCACTCATCACACGTCCCTAGAGACCGCTTACACCTGTAAGGTAACATTGGGGATACAGCAAACAAGCTCTAGTCCACTTGGTCATCAAGGTGGCTGAGGACGTAGGTTTGATGTAAGAACACAAAGACTAAATCGAGCAGTTCTGTCATTACAACTTGCAAAATAAACAACGTAATAAGCAACGTTATACCTACAAATGGGCAGGTATAACGATTTGCCACATAACACGAGCCAACTAGAATCTAAAGATCAACATATAATGGCCACTCAATGCTCAGGGGATCCAGCAAGTGAAGGAATGTAGTCTTGGCAGAGAGCGCAAAGGACCCACCAGATCGTACGTATTATCGCAAGCAAGCACTAGGGCATCAACAGGCGACGTGTGGTTGGCTACGCAGATGCCGTTGCGAGGTAGGTTCTCTCGGTTGTGGTAGGTGCAGACGAGAGACAGAGCGCCGCTGAGCACATCGAAGCAGCGTATTGTCCACGAGTAGTTCCAGGACTTCTTGAGGGGGCCTTCTCTCAGGCACCCGACGGCGTATGTGCACATCAACAGCACTCCCGTCTACCACAGACACACAAAACAATACCAAAACGTCAGTCCAGGGGCCGTACTCTCAAAAATCGCTCTCAAGCACACATAAGCGTCCGATTCTCATATGTGATTGGTGTGTTTAGCTTGAAACGCCGTCAGTGATTGGCTGACGGAGTTACGAATTCTCAGCTATTTTTGAAAGCACGGCTCCAAGTCTCAGCCCAGCGCAGACCGCTAGCATAACTAAGGTGCTGCTTTGCATACCAGTTAATCAACCAATACAATAAAAGTCAGGTTACGGCACTATTATACAATAAGGTCGGGAAATGCATCACAGTTACGAATAAAGTTGTCAGTCATAAAACATCAGTACCGGATACTGTACAAGATGAGCAATGGGGACATGAAAATTCGATGATTCGAGAGTAGTTAAGTTCTAGTATAATTGTGGAACCAGGGGTACACACGGCATGGCAAAATACATTTAAATATTGTACAAAAAACAAGAAGTACCCTTACGTGAACATTTCTGTAGGTACAAAAAAGAAACAGAAGCCGAAGAAAGTAAGCAGCACAAAGCGTTAGTTAGAAAACCATTTCACATCAGGCAGAAATTTTACTAATAATATGAAGGTTTGTGTAGAAAGTTAGTTGAGACAGTGGAAAGGAAGATCTTGTCGTGGATCCAAGGGCTTCGTTATCAGTGGTGAGCTGAAAATGTTTAATCTTTCGATACCGCCGCAGCATTAATAACTGAATACATAAATGAATCCGCGGAACGTGAACAACGTTCTACCGGTATAGCTCGTACGACAATACAATTACAATATCCTGAGACCCATTACAAATTTAAATGCGTGAGGAGAATATTCGTAACTTTAGTAAGGACATCAGATGTGGAAAAGACCTGCTCAGAAAAATTAATTTGCTTAGCTTAAAGATAGATGAAGATTTCAACGAGAGCTTCTGATCAAACATAAGCTAAATTAAAGAAAAACAACATAAAGACCCGGAAACTTGCCACTTCAAACAGAACGTAAAGGAAAAAGTAACTTTGGAACAACTGAAGACAAACAGAGAAGGCTTGGTGAATCTGGTTTATTCGTGAATTACAAATGAACGAAGATTGGAAGATCTAATTAATACTAGCAACAAATTCGATTTTCCAGAGACTTAAAGAGTACAAGGAGATTGTGGAGGCGGAATAAGTCTAGTGTTGTTAAAGTTTGTTCGGAGAAACATACGCTCATGAGCTGGCGTAAAAAGAATTATGTCGAGAGGTCAAAAAGGTTTAATATCTTCCCTTTAAAAGAGAAAGAATGTGTTCCACTTAATCTAGTAATTACAGCTAACAAAGGTGGAAATTAATAAATAAAAAATTGAAATTCTGAATTGTAAAATTGAGAATTACAAAAAATTCAGTTGCAAAAACGGTTTGAATGGCTTATGTAGTCACTAACACCCCACAGCCCATACGCAAGTATACAGCTAAGAGGTAAAATGAAATAGAATGTATCGATTATTTGGCACCATAAAAATGATCCCATGCATTTATAACGACAGTCCGCCCACAAAACGCATGATTTCAGTTGATGTTCCATGATGACTTCCATGTGATCACGTCACAGTCTTAAAGATATGCAAGAAGTACGGTATGTTTGTTAACACGTGCAGCGTTAATGGCGTGCTTTACGTTATCATGTACGGGGGTGAGAGCCCAAAGCATGTTTCGTGCATTCAGTTCCTGGTTTTCAGATAGTGAACAAAAAATTTCAAATCCACATGAATTATAATTATGAATCCAACGAATATCTGTACGAAAAGCGGTTTATAAATACCAACAAATAGCTGGTTATTAGGTTATAATTGACGTGATGTTACCAACCTTTCGGTGACCCGCCCGAATTTTAGATTCCTAATAACTGAGTAGCTCGCAACGGCCCATTCTCCCTGCCTAACCGATATATTTAATAGACATCAACCATTTCTAAGTGAATAAACAGGCAGTTATCCCCAAACCGTTCAGGAATTACAACGAATATAGATGCTCGATGGCAGGGTTTGATAAAATTTATAGTGAATACTAACGAAGGAGAAACATCCATCTTGAGCGAGCACAATACAGTCAATAGGTGAGGTGTGGTTGGCGACGCAGATGCCATCAGAGCGCGGTCGGTTGTGAGTGTTGTGGTAATAGACGACGTTGCTGAAGCCGCGAGCCATGATCCGGAACATGGAGAGAAACATGCAATTCGCGAGCCAGCGCTTGATGCGCCCGTCCGGCATCTGGCCAATCACAGCGCAGCCCAGCACCAGGTAGATCGTCTAACCGTTGACGTTGTGTAATTAATTAATACTTTAATTTGTTAATATAAATAATTTCCGTCAAGAGTATAGGGTTTGGGACGCGACCCAGGAGGGGTGTAGCGACCACATTAATGAGCGGTCGACAATTTAGGAGAATAAAAGGGAGAACTTAAAACAACTTAGCAGGGTAAAATATTGGGGATAAAATAAACAACAAAAGGGCAAAGCCAGGGTGAAATTGCAAGCTGGAGCGGCAAGAAAATTTCTACAACATAAATCTTTGACTTCAATTTCTATATCATAAAAAATTAATAAGTAATCAATTAAATACGTAAACTATATGAAAATAATTTATTTTCTGATACACAACTAGAAGTAGCAAACAACCGAGGATTGAACGGGAACTGCAGGTTCGAAAGGAAAAAATATTAGTGAAGCGATCACAAAGAGACATAAAAAAAGGTATCGTTTGGAAAAACACGTGGTCGTTTGTGAATAAACTTAACTGAACATACAAAACCCAATGGAAATCACCTAGTAATAAAGTCTCTAAAATCAAATTAGATACAGCGTTCAACAGGGAGAGCATATCTGGGGTCAGTTTGCCTGTTCTATGATAACGATTATGACCTAGACAAGTTGAAGTACCGGATACCCGAAATGCACTCACGAAGATCTCGCTATCATTTTCTCTTAGAAATAGATTTAAAGACATAGTGGCAAGTAAAAATTTTTATAATTAAATTCTGTGATTAAAACATAGTATTTTTTACGACGCCATAAAAGAAGTGAAAAAATCATATATAAGAGCTCAGCATTTAAGTTCAACGAGCAAAGTCTAAAGTTGCACGTCGCATATTCAGCGTAGAGAGCAAGTCAGGGTAAAGGAAAAAGACAGTTATAAAACCCGATAATGTTTCATACGTGATTCAACATCCATCTTCTGAAGCAGTGACTTCCAAACTTCTTGTATGCAAGTATAGTACTAGTAGGTACTAGTCAAGTATGAAAGTCCTGGTGAATTTTATTCTACTAATCACAAATAATGAGTAATTTTATGAAATAAGCTATTATATTTTAATAGAGGAGTACTGATACCAGATGGGTAGCTGTTGGCAACTATCGCAGAGCGTGCTTAGCTAATTCCATTTCAGGCAAGAAGAATTCCGGATAATTACGTAAAAACAAAGAAAAAAATAGTAGCAAGATTTTCGCGGATAGCCAGAAACAACTGGCGTACTATACCACAAGTGGCAGCGATCACAGTTCGGCAGCCACTTGCCCAGAGTACAGGCCTTCTCGCTTCCAATTCCGAATTACAAACAAACAGCACGAAAAAAATCTACTAGAGGCCGAATATGGAATGATGAACACGATGAAAGTAAGAACAGCCGCTGTAGACGACATTAAAATCTGTTGAAGAAATCAATGACATGTACCGACAAAATTCGGCTCCGAAAGTACATCAGTAACATGAATATGTGGATAGGGATATAATTAAATTAATAAGGCATTCAGAAATTGATATTTGAAATATAAAATTTTACATATAACAGATAAAAATGTAATTAATTCTCAGGAGTGAGAGCCGACAGCTGGAGCTGTTCTCCCCCAGCGCAGGTCGTTGCTGAAACAGAAGCAGCGGTTACAGAAGATACAAATAATTATGCGCAAAAAACGGTCTAAGAACTAATACAAATGCACAATCCTGATACATATACAAATAATGTAGAAAAATCATTATTTTAAATATATAAAGATACCAAGAGATATAAAACATGTAGATAATTTTGCAACTGACCTTAGTTAGAGATAATGTTAATAGGAATAAATTGTACGAAATACACCCTGATTAAATAACTTCCACTTTAATATTTTTAGAAGATCTAGGCAATATTTCCATCAAAGTTTAAAATGACCTTAAACTACTTACTCATTAAATAGACGGCAGAATAAAGTCATCCATGTTCAACCCCGGTCACACTGCATAAATAGAACTCTTCTCTTCCTATACTCGGAACGATACAATGATATAAAATTATGTATCTGACTAAAATTATACAATTGATTAAAATTTTGCATAGGCTCACTCCAATTCGAAAAGGATGGCGACTCCTCTTCCTACACTCGGAACGATACAATGATATAAAATTATATATCTGACTAAAATTACGTAATTGATTAAAATTGAGCATGGACTCACCCCAACGAAAAGGATGGCGACTCTGATAGGCAGGAGGATGAAGTAGCGCACCATGAAGCCCAGCACCCAGATGGCTGTGAGCCGCACGCTCACGAACTGGTGCCGACTGTTGGTGCGCGTCAGCAAGTTCCAGGACTGCAGATACAAGTCTTCAATTTACTAAATACTAATAGAAAAAATGATATTTATGTTGAGTGTCTATCATACTTGAATTTCAAAGCGAGGTTTGCTCCCAGAAGTGCGCAAATAAGCTAAAAATGACAAAGCTGTTTGTTGAATGTATACCACACAGGGATTCGATTAGTTCACTATAATTTCAAAGCGGGATTTGCTTCTGAAAAAACATAAATGAACAAAACAAAAAGCTAAATTTTGAGCTTAATGTGCACTGGGATTTTAAATCCAACGTAGAATTCCAAAGCGAGATAAGCTTCCTTGAAACGCAGATAAGTGCTGCGCAGGACGAGTTCTGTATATATAAGAAAGTGAACTAGGTCTCGGACAAATTTACGGCCGGTTTCGCGGCCGAAAGGTTTTCTTAGTGTTTTTATGGGTTTTTCTAGGTTTTTTGTGTTTTTAATGGAACCTGTTCCTAACTGGACCTAATCTGCGAGGTTTTCGTTGCTTGGCTAGGTTTTTTCTAGGTTTTTAGTCCGGCAGCCGCGAGACCGGCCGCGGGTCCGACCGTAAATTTGTCCGAGACGTTAAGAACTGACCGTGAGCTCCTCGGCCGAGAATCGCTTGGTGACCTCATCGTCGACGATGGCCTCGATGCCAGTGCGCAGATAGTACAGCGGGTCCCACAGCTTGAAGTCTTCCTTCGTCGAAAACGAACGCTGAAACTGCACACCGAGTCCAGCCTTAAATAATGTTTTGATAATACCATTTCTGTTGAAAGCCATACGGCCTTGGTAATTTTTGTAACCCTAAGCCATGATTTCGGATATATTTGTTCGCTCGAACAAAGAGTCTATAAAAGAGATTAAACAACAATTGATGAAGTGAGCGATGCTCTTTTGTAAATTAATAATAAAGAAAAATCTCTGTAAATTCACAATTAAATCCCAGATTCAGAATAAGGACGTCAAAATGGGTAGGCAACATGGTCATGCAATAATTAGTTAGAAGAATGCATATATTTCTGGATGCAAAACAACGAACATCGCTGTTCTGATACATGATACTGAAAATAATATCGAAAATCACGAAAATTTATCCCACAATAACCCCTATCGCATGTAAAATTTGGTAGTTACGCTGCAAGTGCGGTGTGTAATGATTAATTCAACCCGACATTCAAGTGCAACTACAACCGTTCGTTCCTCTAACGATATCAGCTAAGTGAATAAGCTCGGTTAAAAATTCATATCGCTCTGACCAAGGATAAAATACTGGCGATCAAATCATATCACACGCACCACACAACACCACTAGCCAATATTGAAATAATTAATGGAGAGAAGGAAGTTTATCAAGCAAAATACCATGTGAGCAAGCAAATTCTAAGGAAGGACAAGCAAACACGTGTAAAAGTCATGTGTCATTTAACTCGGGATCTAGGTTATCTTTGAATACTTTTTTGCCTCTCGGAATTCTGGCAACAGTTGTCTTGTAGGTCATCTATATATAGACGCAGAACCTCTATTTCAGGGTTATTTAATCGAAACATTTATTTTATATACGCTCATGCAGCCACCCTATTTTTATGCGGTGAGTGTACACTGTGCATCGTAGAATAAATAACTGGGTTTGTCTATAGTAAACAAATTTCCTCCTATTACTAGTTAAAGTCCCGCACTAAATATTACCACGCGGTCATGCCTTGTTACTGAAACAACATTATACTTCAGGTCCCGATAACCCCAGGCGTACAGTGATAACATTCATTTGATAATCTGGCCACTCTTAACTAATAAAAACTTTGAGAGCTTAATAACACATTAATAGCAGTTGTATACGTTAGAGTACAAAATTTATTATTACTGCAGTAATGCTACAACGAATCTAATAAAAAAATTAGTATTTAATTCGAAACCGTGTAGACAAGGTTGATAGATAAAGCGAATTTCTTAGCAACTTCCGGGAATCGATTCCATCAGCTGCTACTGTATTGGTAACAAGAAGAATACACGCTAACGAAACCATTTGAAATATAATTGGCAGAGCTGATAATGAACAAGAATTCGGAAGACGAAATTTTTGTGCAGATTCGTAAGTCAGACAATTAATTCTTATCGACGCCGAAATTTTCCTGAAAATAATTATTTTTTGCGACATGCGGCACACAGTTTTTGTATTTTGTACTATTATTTTCTATTTTATACTCTATTTTTTTGTTGTCATTGCATTTTGTATTGATTTGTACTGATGTCGTTCCGCAAGTACCCAGACTGAGATGGCAAATATTGTTAGGAATCGGCAATAAATCTACTTATATACTGTATTGGTCATGTCATTAGCCTATAATTACCTCATCGAGCAGAATAATATCCCGATCTGATATAGAAATATATGGCCTGCTGCAGCTATCAATGATTACTTGTTAGCGCATTTTCTCATTTATGGATTTATGGAAAAAATGCACTATTGTGCTCACCATGTCCGTCCGTCAGTCTGTCGGTCTGTCCGTCTGTCTGTCCGTGACCTCAAGTTTTCGTCGACGAGAAAATGCGCTCTCTGTCACTCACTGCAGTGAGTACTGAGTTATATTTTTCAATAATGCGCGAGACTCGACTGCTTGATGACGAACTTCATATTTTTCGTTAGTAAATTTTGGATCTTAAAAAATAAGTTTTTACAGTACTACTTTTTCATAGGTTCATTGATGGCGAAACTTGGTCAGAATTTATGAAAACGAAAGGTTTTCTTATACAAAGCATCTATTACTTGGGTGCTGCAGGGTATGGTAAGCTCATACGACACTACACGAAGCCAATGGGCACAGATATACGAGGGAAGAATTAACGACGTAATTCTATCAACTCGAGTCAAGAGATCCAAGTACGAGACGGAAAAATAATGCGTTAAGCGACATGAGAAAATTAGAAAGACGTTGTAATAATATTACAGCCCGAGTAATAGTAAATAGTATATATAGATTTTTTTTATCACAAAGTTCTCACTCTGATAAGCTTTACTGCAAGACGACTTAACAAGTTATTGGTACATAGGTTTCATATACGAGCGAGTAAATTAATCCCACAATCTTTCTTGATTAATGACGGGGCTTTATTGGTCCGAGCCATCCCTTTCATTTACACACTTAATAAGATTCGAGAACGATTATCGACCGATGAATATTTCATCGTACAATCTGCATCCATGCATGTATTAGTTGGAATAATGGCATTCGAACCCACGCGTACAAACTATCTAAAATACAAGCTTCCGTGAATAGTACTCTAACTTGTATATCTAGATTCCTCTAAGTATTTTGGGATTTCCTATTAACGCCAAGCACTTTAAAAAATGCTGATGATGGCTCATGTTGCGAGGTTAGATATGAACTTAAGGATAGTGTGAGCCTCCAGGGTTTGACATGGACCTCTATTAGGGTTCAGAGAGAAGCGAAGAGGTCGGAGTACATTGATAGCCAAATGTGTGATAAGAGCGAGCTGTGAAGAACCCATTCATGACAGCGTCGGGCACGCAGATAGGCTGAGACATCTCTTGTACTGCCATGATCACTGCATAAACATACACCTAATACCGTGGTGTCAGGCACCAGACCAGCATTCATAATCGGCCAAACTCTAGGACCACCGTATTGAAAATCAAGTCCATAAAATAACCATAAATAGATGGAGACGGAGAAGAATTTTATGTTTAATAATTTCACATTTCCAGGGCAAGAAAAGTAGGACGTCTTTAGCCTTCTTACCGAAAACTTTGCAGAATATTCAAGAATTGTGAGGTTGAAAGCCTAAAACTGAATTACCAGAACTGCAGTAAAATAAATTGACCGAGAAGAAGTGTTGAATGTAACTGACAAAAGGTCATGGATAACAAAACATCGATATTGTTTGCTGCCCTTATATTCTCACGTCTAAAGAATACCTATCTAAAATCTTCATTTGATTGAAGTGAACATTTTTCTACACGTTCAGCTGACAATTGGCTATTTCCAGTAAAGGTCAGGTAGCTCAAATGATCAATGTCCATTCAACAGAGGCATCTAAATTAGTCCACACACAAAAAGTAACGCGTCAAAATAAATAAGCATGCAGAACTATTATAAGGCAAAGAGAAAAGCAAGAGGCCAGTTAACACAGGCCGATCTGAGCAGAGATGCTGCCGTACGACAGGGCATTCCCGACGCCAGTGATAAGAGAGATAATCGCTCATTGCCTGATAACGTTAGTTTCAGACAAACAAAATCCCTACAGCAATGGTTAGGTTGAGGAAGGGAGCAAAGTAAATCAGTAAATCTTGGCGTCCAAGTTTAATTTTTTCCACTGCTTTTACCAACGTCGAAAATTCGAGCAGGACGATACAAAAAAAAATAGAAATTAGAAACTGACTGCGATGAAATTTTGAAGGAGCTTATAAACCAAGAATGTATGCTATTGCTCTAAATGTAGGATTATCATCGATTTGTTAGTTAATATTTTCAGTTAGGAAACCAGCTTTAATGAGTGCCCACTTTGTGAAATCAAACATTAGAAAGCAGCTGTAGTTTCTGGTTTGAAAGGAAATTATTTGGCAATATGATAACTAAAAACGAAGTCTTATTTATAGAGAACAGTTCAAGATACCTCTGATAATGAAGTCTGGTATCAACTGATAGGAAATGGGTACGTATATCAGTCACAAAGTAATTATTGAAATCATACTCGTAAGAAATGCTTATACACACTACAACCATACATACACATGCATTACATAAGAAGCAACATGTAAATTGCCCATTAGATATACACACAGATAGGTTAGCCACAAACTGGTTTGTGAGCACCGCGCTCCACGAACCTTATCAGTCATAAGGAAAATCAGCTCAGCAACAGCAAGAGTTGTCAATAGAGAATTATACAGCAAACTATTCAAGGTCATCACTGCAGGATCCATCCCTCAACCTTGACAGGTCATCAACTGTCATAGCAAGATACTACAAACTTGTGCTTACTTGTATCAGGTTTGCCTGCTCATGTTACAGACAAAACTTTAACAAATTTAAAATTAAACTTGACTGGATTGCTTTTGTGTAAAAAAATAACATTGCGAAATTCGAGAAGAGGAATATTAAACCACCAATAGAAAGTTTTAAGCATTAATTTTGCTCAGTCCATGGTTAGCCTTTGATATCCACCAACTAGAACATATATAGAGCCTAGTTTTGGCCTGTAGTTCTAGTAACAAATGAGGTTCTTATCAGAATTATGCAGGAAATTCCATCCCTTACAAGATGTAATCAATGCAAAAATGGTAAGCTGCACTTTGGCTACCAGAAATAATACTATAGATGTAATGTAAGGAGATTACTTAATTTACTTTACACTCATGAGGTGATGTTTATTGGCTGTGCAATGGAAAACAAGTTGATTTTATGGCAAGAATTTGAATCAAATGAGCTTGAACATTCATAAAATAAACATTTAAATATTTGACACTGTTTTATAACTTATTTACAACACTTATCATAAAATTGCTCAACTCCTGCTGAGAAATTCAAGCTATTAATTAGATATACCGGTAGTAGTAACTCATAACGATTGAATTGATTCAAACACCTTGTAATTGTAAGCTTTCAATGATAATTGAAGAAACCTGCTTGAATATGACATTATTGAATCAACAAATCACAATTACCCCAATCAGAAGTTGTATAAATTTAGGACTAGAAGACTGTACATATTACTGTAGGACTGTACTACTAGTGTGAGTAGTGTCATAGAAAATTCAGAACTTTAGAGAAGTTGGGGCCAAAGCAATTAAGATGGCAATAATTTAGGTACTATCAACAAATGGGGCCATGAGAGGAAAAACTATACAAGCATAGTTTAATTAAAAATTGGATTTAAATATCATAATTTTTAAATGTCTCATGATAGGTTAAGTCAATGTGGTTCACCTGCAATACTTTTACTGATGACTTTAACAAAACATCTAAGCAAATATCAATAAAATTTATGTGAAAAGATGTCACGTGACATTACGATATTGGCAGACTACATTTTAAAAAAGCCCTGCAGTACTGCACAGAGCACAGCAATACATATAGTCTGGGACTGTAAAAAAACCTTCATCAGTTTTTTCCCATATCTTTTGAAGAACTGCACTTAGCACCATGAAATTTGTACCAAACCTCACAAGTCCTACTTACTAGTGTATATACTCAAAAATTGCCAGCTTGTACCATAAAATGGGGTAACTTTGACCTCTTTTTTTCAAAATGCCATTTTTTACTAGATAAGTTATACTTAAATTGAAACATGCAATATACAGGTCTATACTCTAGCTTCACTCACCATAAATTGCTGGCTCCTGCCTCTCATAGTTTTGATGTAATTTCAAAAAAAAAAGTGATGATCTTTGTTACCCCCCACTTTGGGGTTTATTTGACTGGGAGGTAAAATCAATTTTATTTTTTGGTAAAATAACTCCAGGTTTTGGTGCATTATAGTAGAACTCTTCTAGTTACATATGCAAATGACAAATTTTAGGAAAGTGTCATAGTTTGCAAATTGGGGGCGCCGCCCCACAATGGGTGAAATGTGACCACCTAATAGCAGCCGTGACAGGGTAACATTGACCGCCTTGGAAATAACATAAAATATGTGATATAGATACCTATGGCAATTTTAACTTAATTTCCAAGCCGTTCAATGTTACCCCGTCCCGGCTGCCATTAGGTGGTCAGAGTTCCCCCATTGGGGGGTGGCGCCCCCAATTTGCAAACTATGACACGTTCATAAAATTTGTCATTTGCATATGTAACTAGAAGAGTTCTACTACAATGCATCAAAACCTGGAGTTATTTAACCAAAGAATAAAAAATTGGAGGGGGTGCTCCTACAGGCTGTAAATAATAGCTCTTTTTTGTGGGTCACATTTTTAATTTTTTAACCTATTAGATATGCAAACCTTTTAAATCTTTCTATTGTGTTACGTTGCCTCAGTATTAGGCCTTTAATGGCCATTGACAAAATTTTTCTATGTCAAATAGTTTTTGAGTTTTGGGGGTTTTTGTTGAAAAAACAAAAAGTGGTCAAAGTTAACCTGGGAGTCAAAGTAACCCCATTTTACGGTAACTCTAGTAGTTTTTACATTTATTCCTCTAGCAAGGATGACAAAAATTGCTGAAACAGCACCCATGAATTTAGACAAAATTGCAAAACTCTCTAAATGGATTTCGGCATGAAGGAGATGTCAGGTAATCCATTTTTTTTCATTTAATTGCATTATAATAGGTTCTAAATGGCCATAGGACAAGTTAAGGGGCATAGTAAGGTATAGGAAATTTTTAATAGGTGGATATTTTTCTAATTCAACTAGCCATGGGTTGTTTTTTAGAGTTGTATATAGTGTTCTATTGCTATATACATAGCATATCACTATATACACACATGGGTTGTATATAGTGTTCTATTGCTATATACATAGCATATCACTATATACACACATGGGTTGTATATAGTGTTCTATTGCTATATACATTGAAAATTCCAGGATTTCCTCTACTCAGGTGAGGCTTATCTCTGTCACTAAGAGAATGAACAACTTTTCATTCTTTTCACAATTTAAGTGATTGATATTATTGAAAAATAAAAAAAATTAAGCACAATCCATCAGCCCACCTGATTGGAACCTGGTCTCAGGACAATTTCTCTGGTGATGACTTCATTGCTGGAGCTTGTCTGGTCCTCTTCACTGATGAGCCGCTCATCTTCTGATGACTCGGTCTCAGAATCACAAGGTTCATGTTCGGACAGTTTCCTTTGGGCAGCCAGACGAGTTTTGCAGAACTGAGGAAAAAATTATAATCCTCAAATTTTTTCAGACATTAGTTAGTTTGGCATGATGTCACATATATCACAACAAACCTAAATACAGAAGTCTAAGTCAATATGAAATATTGGGCAGATTCTTCTAAAAATCAGACAAATATATCATTTCAATGGTGATTTTTGAAAGTTTCATAAAAAATATGCTGTTTTTTTCAAATTTTTACTAAAGATACTTGGCAATACCTATTGCAACAGGTAAAATTGTTTAGGCCTATTGAATTTGGAAGGCCTATTGTCTATTGAATAAGTGAAGTTTTTCTCTCATTCTTGGCAAGCTTTTACACAATTTTCCCATTTGTACTTTGGAGTCTAAGTTTATCTCACATGGAAAAATCTATTCTAAAATGGCAAGTTGGCAACTGTCATTTAGAACCATATGTTTCTCAGATTTGCAGTTCTAAGCTTGGTTTCCAGGGTGCGGGAAGTGCATGAATATAAAAAAAAAATATTTGGCAATGCATCAGCAGCTAAATTTGGCCTTCAGAAGATCTTGGCACTTGCCTACACATTTGGATTGAAATTATTGCATTTTAGAAATAACTTTGAATTTATTGCAATTACTGCAAATCTGAAAGACCGCAAGTGTACTGTTACTACTGTACACAGTAGGCAAAGGTTTTCTGGTACGTTGGATGGATCAGGTCATCGTCAGGATGCAGTGAAGCTTGTCCTGAAATCAGTTACAATGAGTGTAACTGTAAGTGTTGCAGTGCATGGAGTGGAGAGACTCAGAGACAAAGATAATTATTATGGGATATACTATCAAAGTTGCTTGCAGTTGCAGCACTTTCTTATTAAAAATTACCCTGTAACACATCTTGAAAATGGCTGGCAATGCTTTGGGCTAAAAATCCATAACATGGCGATGCTGCTTGCAAGTCTGCACCCTGGCCCAGTTTTGGCATCACAAAAGCATTGGTATTATTGCAGATTAAGTACATCAAAAAAAAGGGTGTTTTTTTTTAATTATATGTTTTTTGGGGTGTAGATTACGAATCTGAAATCCATTTTTGGCGGTCGGCATCGGAAAATTTTAATGGAACCTGTTCCTAACTGGACCTAACCTGCGAGGTTTTCGTTGATTTGTGTCCAATTCAAGTTGTGACGGAATTAGTTTTCATGTGTCTAAATCCATTCCTCAACTTAATCATCTATTAATTTATTTACCACTTGAAATCAACGAATACAAGTATACTTAAAGGATTCCTAATATATTGACATACATATTTAAAAGTCTCAAACCATAATATTCTTCCTACACAAACAGTTATTCACTATTTGGTAAAGCAAGGTCAACTGTCAAATTTGACACATTTTTCAATGATCTCACTGGGTAGCATGCATCGTCTCTCTTTGGATCTCAATATTTTCCCTCTAGATGGCCAAGACGGTTAAGTGGAGAACTTCCTCGCATCACAATGCATCTCTTCAGAACTTATACTGCACTTCTCTACCGCATTGAGCGTCGTAAAACACGTGGCAAGACCTAGTGTTTTGGCATTAGTTCAACGCGCAAATGTATGATGTCACCATTTCAACCATCAACAAACGCATGGAACTAAAACAATGCTTAATATAAAGGAAAAACTAAAGAGGTGACAGAATTACCCACGATGACGGAATATACCGCGTTTACCCTATTAAAAATTACCCTGCAACGCATCTTGAAAATGGCTGGCAAATAGCAATGCTTCGGGCTAAAAATCTATAACATGGCATCGCTGCTTGCAAGTCTGCACCCTGGCCCAGTTTTGGCATCACAAAAGCATTTTCTATTTCAGAAGCATTGAAGTTGATATTCTAATTTCCAAGTCTAACTGCACAAAGTTTAGCAAGCTCACTCAGTAATGATGAGAAATATTTCTGTCTTGCCAAGGGCCAACCACAAACCTCCCAAGGCCAAGGCTTCTTAGTTATAGTCTTATACCTATAGCATAGACTATACTACATAGTGGCAAAGCAGAGAGGTTTTTAAACTATCCCTCAAGTTCATTTCTGAGTCCTATAAGTAGGTAGGCTAGACCAGTAAAGTATCCTGGAATCTGGATACCAACATTATCATACATAAGGAATTGGTTTAAATCTTAGGTAAATGAGGAAATTAAAAATTACCTGATTCTAAAAAATCTCTGGTTTGTCACTATGCTATAGTATAGAATAAGATACGTAGATCATATCTGCATCAGATGTTGCTTTCAATGCATTTCTGGTGTCGCTAATTAGATGGTAACTACTAAACTAGGCTATGTAATATTGATTCTGAAATAGTTGTTGTGAAGTCAGCATTTGACATAAAGATTAAAGACACTGTTGCTAGTATTAGATCTATGTTGAAGAAAATTTTTCCTCTAATTTGCCTGATATACCTAGGCCTACTCTATACTGATTCCTTACTTAAATTACACATGCGTGAACGTCTCACCTCAAAAATCTGAATCAATCCTTTCACGTACTTCTCTCGTAATCCGATTGACTTTCCAACACTTGCAGTAATTAGAACAAATATCAAAATCATTGCAAAAGGAGGCACTAAAAACACAAAAATCAGCGACAACGCTGCTTCGGCCAACGCCATAACGACGCACTTCTCATACGCACTACGTTAGCATCAGACACAAACTAACTCACGATCCTCAACCAAGTCCAACAGCCAACTCTGTATTAACAGACAGGGTTGCAGTGGACTAATGGGAATTTTCCCTCATGTGCTGCAGCCTGACGTAAAATTCTTCCAAGAAAGAAATTGAAGAAAATTTGCAAGTTTGAAATTGTTTTTTTAAGAATGAAAATTCTTTTTTTTGGATGGGGTGTGATGGAAAAAAAATCTGTATTGACTATGTACATTTTTAGAGTAAATATTTTTATGGTATCTACAATGAGCAATTTTTGATTAGCTCATATATTTTATCAGCTGCGCTCATGAGATTTAAAGTATTACTTTTTTCGGATAAAATCAAACAAAAACGATTGATACTGCTCTTAAATAGCATTAAAAACTATTATTACATGTGTTCAACTATGGGTCTATAGGCAAAGACAGTTCCAGCACATAATGAGATGATCAGAGACTGTCGCATTTATATCGACTGGATCGACACCTGCATGAAAAGCAAGTGTGACCAAAACCATTATATTGTCACTTGTGACAATATTCAAGTCTACATGGTTTCGTGCTAGAACGAACGCAGCGCGTAATTCCGTCCATTTCAACGGTTCAAATTCAATCAGGTTCAGGGTATATATATAAAACGTAAACAGATGTCGTTAATTAAACCTATATCGACAATCGGAACTCGTTTCATCGTTACGTTTCAATTTTGTTAGATGACTGAAAAATCTAAAGTCTTTAATATTATCGATTGTTACTTTTTCGCCCATGTTAATATAGGACAACGATACACTTAATTCCGATTTCCATACTTAAGTTGACTGTTATCGCAAATCACGATCGCGATTTTAAAATTTGAAAACTTTATTTATTCTTATTTTAGAACTTTTAATCTAAGCTCATTTTGTCAATTTAGTTGAACGTCCGACATATTCGTTTAAACTATGTTTATTTCTCTGCCGTGACGGTTGCACTAACGACTGTGTTTCGATCGAGATCACAGTCATCGTAAGTGGGAGTGATGGCATCACTGGAAGTGAAGTAAGCTTGTCTGCAATCTTCAACGTGTAAATATTGAATAATAATTTTTCATTAAATAATATATAAACTTAACGTGTCTCATAGATATTCATTTTAATTTTATGCTCAAATAATCGACATAAATCTGATGTAGTTAAAATCAAAATTTAGGCTGTTCGATGGGATTTGTTATTGTATAAAGTGTAAACCACACTTTGCTGCCTGGCAGTTATTAATTCAAGAACAGTAACGTTTAGCTAAGGTTGGAAGACATTCTCCAAGACTACCTATGTGAAATCCTAAGGAGGAATAGTAATGGGAAATCATTTGTATTAAATTTCTCATTTATTCTATAATCTACAAATAACTTGAACTTTTTCGACCTTCTGAACAAAGTCGAATAGATAACAAACAAAATGTATACTTTTCCATAAACATTTAGAAACTCAAGTCAGAAGTGTGCTTCATAGTTAGTTTGATAGCATCGAAATTCTTGTTTGCTACGAAATAAATGGGGTTGGCTTCCCAACAGCCACACTGCAGACGACCGACCGTTGGCTGGGAAGAGTATTTAACGTAGTTCAAACTACGTTCAGTCTCCCATGGCCGAGTCGTGCGCCAGTAGAGGTATTTCGGTAGATGAGTGTAGTTCAGAGTTGCAGCTTGTCGTGTGTAGGTCGTGGTAACAGAAAGTTACGTGATGTTACCATTGTAATATAGGAAACTATTCTTTGTGTTCGAGCGACAATAATCTACATATTTCGAGATAATTGAAGATATTCGCAGGAGATCTGAGCCTGAGGTTACTTGTTGCTGTGCATGTTACTAAAATAGAATAATTTTTCCCGCAGACTAAATTATTGCAGGTAGCTGGAATATATAAGTATTTTTTTAACTGTTGATATAATGTAGTAAATGATTATAAAAATAAAATTTTCCTTGTAAACTGACCAATAACATGAACCACAACGTAAAAGAAACTTGATACCATTTTCAATTTTCCGTCTTCCTCTTCATCTGCATAATCAAAGCACATAATAATATTTCTTTTTCAATCATCTGGACCGTTCAATTCCAAAAAATTCTAACATCGAATCAGGTTTTATTTGAAGGTAATTTGCTATTTTTGTGCTTATGATGGCTGGTCTAGCAGTCTAACGATATACCGTAACGTTAGAATACTTTCTTGACTTTAACTTTTAGGTCCTACTTACTTTTTTAAGTACCTACTTCAATAAATTATTTAAACTGGGTTTCATTGAAATAAAAAATTTTGTATTGTCTAAGAAGATTTAAAGGCCAAAATAATTTTCTATTAAACTGAACCATTTTAATGATCTTCCGAATGTGATAGACAGTGAATAAATACAGAAACAAATCCTGGGGTCACACATTCGCAGCCTCTATGCTGGAATGCTAACTATCACGCACGTTAAACCTTAGTATCATCGCATAGCCTAAGGCGTATCGCAGACCCATGCCTCCACTTCGAGCACTTACGATCTATTAGAATCAATACGTTCACCGTAAATCCTAGCAATCCCTTGCGATCTCCTCAAATCCTTACGGTCACCGCATGCAGGCTCTTGCGATGTCCTCAAATCATCACGTTCCCCGCAGACCCTTGCGATCTCATCAAATCATCACGTTCACCGCAGACCCTTGCGATCTCCTCAAATCATCAAGTTCACCGCAGACCCTTGCGATCTCCTCAAATCATCACGTTCACCGCAGACCCTTGCGATCTCCTCAAATCATCACGTTCACCGCAGACCCTTGCGATCTCCTCTAATCATCACGTTCATCGCAGACCCTTGCGATTTCCTCAAATCATCACGTTCATCGCAGACCCTTGCGATCTCCTCTAATCATCACGTTCATCGCAGACCCTTTAGATCTTCTTAAGTCATCCCGTTCACCGAAAGCCGTTCCAGACCGCGAGCTATTAGAGACTATCTAAAGCCCGTCATTTTTACGTGTACTTAATTCGGGGCGATCAACTATAATCCTTCACGTCAGGAAAATGTACATTTGTCTAAAAATTTTGTTTTTTATTTGTTAGTGAAGAAGATTCCATAGCATTTTATTCAAAAATTTGTTTCTAACTCATTAAAAACTATTTTTTTCACTTTTCGAATACGTCGAGACAAAATTAAATACTGAAATACTATAACGCAACACTTTTATTGTTCTAAAATATTATTATTGTTATTATTATTATTATTATTATTATTATTATTGTGCAAAATACTAAAACGCATCAAAAGAGAAATGCGAAAGAAATCAATTAAAGAGCATACAAGTACTAAAACGTAATATTAAGAATAATGTAATTCAGATTTTTCATTAACGAGTTAATGAAGCGAATAAAGTTCGTGCATTGATTTAAATATTTTAATAACACGAATTCATGAATATAAAATTTCACTAGAATTATTCATAGGATGTCAAATATTCACTTGTAAATTTTTATGATATAAATAATTCTATCAGTCATAAATTCTCGAAACGAAAAATCAATTCCAATACAAATTCATGCAACACAAATAAGGCACGTAATCAGAGGACCTTGTTGATTAAATGAAACATGATACCGGTAACTTTGATGGATTAATAAAATGGAAAACTTAATTTGTGAAATATTACAAACAAAAGGTAAAAGTTAGTAAAATTATAGTAATGATGAGGATTTTATGACAAGGGCATTTATTGAAAACTACATGGAAATCATGAAGTTCTAACATAGCAAAATCATATCTAGACATCAGTGAAATTTACGAAGTCGAGCGACACAAAATGACAAATTTCCTACAATTCCTCAATAATATGCATGCGTCAAATTTTCATTTTACTTGCATAGATTTGAATTTAAACGGGTAATTAATATCAATCATAAAACAGATAGCATACATCTGTGTCCAACCTCATTTAAAACAATGTTGCGGCAAATTATGTTATCCTGAAATATGTTAGATTTGGTTCTACCGTGCGTAATGTGATATGGTTTTCGTTAACCGTTATTAGGATGTCAGGAAATACTTCTGTTTTATCACTATTTGAACGCTTCAAGTGACAATGTTCGTCTACCCGCGATATTCGAATTATATCATTGGGTTACTCCTTGCATCTTCAAGCGAGGCCATTCACAAGTCGGCTCAACTTTTAGTTTAGGTACCCCTGCGTTCGGGCTGTTTTCTTTTGAACCATTTGGTTAGGGGAGATATAATAGTAATACATGATGTACCTATTGACATACATCAATAACATCATGCATAATTTTCTTTTGTGCAAGAATTGTATCATGGATAGGATATAGAAACGATATTCTTGTTATGGTAAGAGTAGGCTTATTTATCAAGAAAAACACCATTCAATACATTGATTTTACCGAGATATTCCATATATATATATCTATATCGAGAGATTCGTAAAAATAAAAGGGATTCTAAGGATGACAAAATAAAATATATTGATGAATCCATACAACGGAAATATTATTCGTATAATCGTATGTATTATGGAGCGATCAATTTATCGATCCAAGTAGCGGAAATAGTATTAAATACTTATCGTTTTATGATAAAAACATTGTATTTATGCATGAAAACGAATATTGATCTATGTTCGACAGGCCAAAGATGTTTTATTCAGTTTGTGAACCATTTAGACTTTATTAATGGAGCCATGAAACTATCTGTATGGTTTGTGGAGCGCTGGTGTAATTTGGAGTTATGGTGAAGCTGGAAAGCTCATGTGTGGGATTGGTGAAGCTAATGCTGAAGCTGAAGTTATATTGTGTGTGGTTGGTGAAGCTGAAGTTATATTGTGTGTGGTTGGTGAAGCTGAAGTGATATTATGTGTGGTTGGTGATGCTGAAGTGATATTATGTGTGGGTGGTGAAGCTGAGGTCTTATTTTGTGTGGGTGGTGAAACTACAGCGGTCTAATCTGTACTCGGTGAAGCTGAACTGCTCTTGTGTGTGGATGGGGAACTCGTTGCGACACGCCACTGCCGCTCGAGAGCAAGAACCTCGCACGAGTTCACTGCACGGCTCCGTGTGATGGAATCTGGCAACTCTTTATTTCTGTTGACTTATCATTTCTGTTGACAGAGGCTCCCCAACCATTGTAATATTAAGTATTTATACACCTTTATCAGGTAAATTTCTAGTATGTAACGATTGCACGTATGTTGAACAAAGTATGTAACGTATGTTGAACAAAAGAAAGACATGGTCGTACATGCAATGTCTCGTGAATTACCAGCTCGCATATTGTACGAACATGATCAGTTAATTTAACTAATGCATTTAAAGGCGCGCATTGCGGAGCTCACGAAGTAGTGGCGTAGGAGCCTATTTTATGAGGTTTCAGTCTCGTAAAATATTCTTAGGCCCCCTAAATTTTATGCTCAATTATGGAAATTATTATTATCAATATTATTATTTGTATTGCATTATTATTAATGCAATATAGTGTGCCTTAGCTCTCAATGTCCTAAAAACCTAGAAGCGCTTCTTCGAAAACCTGAAAAGTATTCGAACATGAGCTTGCTTTGGAAATTCTTCAATCTTTTCAATCGTATCAAAGCTAAGAACGAATTCAGGCTTGTCTACAAATGTCTACGTTGAACGAAAAAAATTTCCGTAACCCAAATTTAATAATTCCCATAGATAAGATTGAATTCAAGTTTCTAATGAATTTCTAGAGCCCTTATATGAAGCATATGTAGGCGTGCCTGAGAAGTTTTTGAACCTGTCTCACGGCGCTGTTCGTAGAGCAACAGCTCAGCATTCCTCGCGGCATTACGGCGGTTAGCAGAATTTCCGGCGCCCTTTGTTGGCGCTCCGTCGAGCTGCGGCTTTGGAGACCGTGGGTGTTCGCTATCATTTGAACATTTCAAAATTTAGCGCTCTTTCCTAAACTTAAATTCAATAAAGCCAGAAATTTATAGTGCAAGCACTACAAATTAAAAAGTTTTGAAATCAAATGAAATATAAATTAAGCAGCGTCCAGAAGCTGTCATATAGCTCGAAGTGTTGAAACTCAAAATTTACCATTCGCGTCTTTGATTTAATTTTAACTGAATTGCTCTTGGAATAGTTAAATATTTAAGTGATGCCCCTCAATGTGCAATGTTTGTAGTTAGTTAATTGTTGATTTATCCAAGTGAAACTATAATAATTTAAATTAATGTCCTCTTTGAGCGCAACGGATTCTGAAATCAAAGAAGTGAAGCTGTAGACATGGCTTGGCAGCACTCACACAATGGGGTCTCCAAGGCCTGCAAGTTAACTTGGTTGAACGTGTTCAGAGAAAGCAGTTAGCTCAATAAAATTAATGTTTTACTTCCATGATGCGCACTCGTTCCAAACTTAACCAAATAGCCAGGACGAATCGCTGGCGGTGTCGTTAAATCGTGTACTTCGTTAACTCATTTATTTCAGCCTTATGGAATTCCGTTGTTGGGCATTGAAAGTATCGTTTCTCCAAATTTTAATACCAATACTTCCGTGAATTATGAGATCATGTAAAATGTACGTAAGATAATTGAGCTTCAATTTTACTGTCTCAAAATTTGCATTGCAAATAAGACTGAATAATGCTTACGTAGAGGGAAATAATGATTGAGTTCGTGGAATGAATAGTCAGGTTTCATATCCCAAGTTATGAATACATTTCGCCATGTTGTGAACTTCATGGGTGCTTTGGCTACCGATTATTTACTGTTTAGTTTTGATCTGGCAGGCTGAGGTACGAGGTACGTGTCTGAAAGTGGTGCAATGCTCGAGGTACGAGGTACGTATCTGAACGTGGTGCAATGCTCGAGGTACGAGGTACGTGTCAGAGAGTGGGGCAATGTTCGAGGTACGAGGTACGTGTCAGAAAGTGGTGCAATGCTCGAGGTACGAGGTACGTGTCTGAACGTGGCGCAATAGATTTCAAAGCCTCATTTAATCGATCCCACGAACGTCATGTTGTGGAACGTCATGTGGGGCCCTTGTGAAGGGGCGCGGAATGGTGACACTATAAATAATTCCTTGAAATTGTTACCCGAACGCTCCTTTAAACATCGTACTTATAGCTTCAAATGCTATTGATAATTACGTAACCATTGCAGTAGGTCGGTCAGAGATAATATGTGTGTAGATATTTTTTATCAATTCTATCAATCTTCATATCTATCATTTGGAAAGATTATTGTTCATTTTGTATCTTATCTCAAGCGTGATATTAGTTTCGTTTTAAAGCCAGTCACTCCACCTCAGTATCCCGCCTACAATTTCAATATTTTAGACACGGCCCAACAAGAATGGCCTCAGCCTCAGTTTTACGGGCATTCATCACGTTTTATCAGTAATGTACTTGTTCATGTCCGTCAGGCGGATTACAAAAACCAGTTCAGAAAATGTCCTCAGCCTATTGGTTCCTTCTCTATGGGTATTGAAGTTTTACCGTAAAAGCGTCCTAAAAGATCTTATCTTTGTTCTTATCTGACATCGGAAATTTCTTGTTTACGTACGAATTTTCGTTTTGAAGATTACAGCTCATACCGGTGGCTTAACAAAAATATTAATGGAGTTTGAATACTGATCTTCTTTTATGGTTGATGAATTAGGCAATTTATGTTGATGTATTTCATTACAGATTATTGTCTGCGGTTGAAGCAATTGAATAAGGCCACTTCTTATACGAATGTCAAATTTCACTAATGCAGAAAAATTATGTTTGGTGAAACAGCGGCGGTTTTTTCTTTCATGCTCATGACGAGTGTGCTTCGGATATTATTATTGTTGCCTCATATTTATTGTATGGGAAAAATAATATATTTTGTGTAAATTGTGAATCTAACGTACAGAAATCTCTACATTGTGACAATGTGACTAGCTTTATATTGTGACAGAATATGACGGTATGTAACATAACGGCACCGGCTTACAGCTGCTGATGACCTTCCTGTGTTCACCTAAAAATAATATTTTCTCGTCTTCAGCACGCATTTTTTCCGTTCCATGTTCTGGGATAAGTAACAGCATTAAAAACAATCTAAATGTTGTTTTTATGTTATTTTCTTACAGATCGACTAACTGATTACGTCTCTTAGAAGCTATTTGGTTTCTGGTACGATCACGTTGGGTTGCTGTGGCACCGTCCGCTCCGCTGTTCCTCGGCTGCTGGTGACGTGGTGAGCCTAAGGTCTCAGTCTCCTCGACGTGGCGAGCTTATACGCACGTGCTCTCCTCTTCGTCTCACCACCACCATTCCTCTCGCGACCATCATTCCTCTAGTGACAGTCATTCTTCTCGCAACAATCATTCCTGTCGCAACAATCATTCCTTTCACGACCATCATTCCTCTCACGACCATCATTCCTCTCGCGACCATCATTCCTCTCGCAACAATCATTCCTTATCATTCCTCTCGCGACCTCTTGCGAATGATTGTCTCGCCACAATCATTCCCCTAGCAAAACAATCATTCCTCTCGCGACAATCATTCCTCTCGCAACAATCATTCCTCTTGAGACCATCATTCCTCTCGCGACCATCATTTTGGCAACATTGATTTACCCTCTGCTTTTTAATTTTTATAGATGGTATTTTTATACTGTATTCACAATAATTTCTGGGAACGACAGATTTTTCTTCTTTTATATTTTTAAAGCATTTAAAATCTTCATGCATTATTTGAATCATTACGGAATTCTAATATGTAAATACTTGAAGCATTTTACCTCGAATATTTCGTTGTTATTCCGCTCATGAATTCAAGGGCCCCGCCACCTTCGCCCCTCTGCCCCCTTCAATATAATATAATATATCATATAATATAATGTAATATAATATTATTTCGTATAATGTAATGTAATATATCATATAATATAATGTAATATAATATAACATAATTTAATTTAAGTGAAGGTGGCCGGCCATATACAATGTCGCCGCAATCGTCAAAATAAAAGTAACGAAACTTCAAATTAAATTATTTGGAATTTCAACTGACGGTATTCGTAATTATTCATTTTACCATCATTTCCGATATTATTTTCTGTTAGAATAAATATTGATGATTACCCGAATGAGCCTTATTTCAACAGCACGAACTATTTGACAATTTACTTTAAATCTCAATGTGATATCTGATCCTGATAGTAGCTGAAATTCGTTTACCATCCGTTTACGGACTCGTTAACCTTCGTAAATAATATCTGAATAAAGGGTAAACCATCGGCCGACCCTCGTCAATGCTTTTCGTATTTGAGGGCCTGACTCTTGTTGCCCTTAAATAGACGGAGGGTTAGGATTTAAGTTTGGATTTAATATTAATTCTGAGATTCGTTTTCATTTCATGTTTCAACTAAATACATTTTCGTATATCATCCAAACTCTTAATTCCGTGTTTCAAGTATACGTTTATTTTTCTGCTTGCTCAAAATTTTCAAATAGAAACAATTTCGAAGATAGTATTTTTATTTTTGTATGATCCGTTTGCAATTTCATAATTATTGGCTCTGCTTGTCTTATGCTGCAGGTAACGGCAATATTTGCTTCCTGTTTCCAAGTCAGACTCTGTACAGGCGAATCTAAAATAATAATTGTTCTTCCAGGTAAACGGCCTCTCGTACTCCTGCATTTATTCAACAACCTACGCGTTGAAAAGTTCAACCAAAGCGACACAGCTCAACGATTCGAAAACGTATCATAAAGTCATATTGGAACGAGATCAACTAGTTTTCATCGCTCAACCAATCTTTCTTTCAACGCAGAAGGAACATTTTAACGGTGAGTGTCAATTTGAATTTTCTCTTAGTTATGCTATCATTTAAAATTTTACTAGGATCATGTTTGGCGTGAGCGAAATTGACCGTCTATCTGCCACGAATATCACAAACATTTGATGTTGCATTAAAAATGTTATGTTCTCAGAACAAATCTGTGTATATTTTGTGACAATTTGCGATATGGTATCTCTGCTATAAATAGTAGAAATATCGACGTTGCATTAAAAATGAAGAAAAGAAGAATAAGTTTCATAATATATCAAACAATTTTGTGATAAATTGCGACGCTATATTCCTATCTGTGTCTTTACATTTGGAGCGAGTAAGAATAAGAAAAGTATCTTGGTATTTGCGGAATCCAGAACGAATCGATAATGGAACTTCCCACAAACTGTTCATTAAGAACAGGAAAACCCTGCCTCGAAATTCCACGTAGCTTACTATCAAGGTTATACCGAAAAGACTAGACTTTACGAGACAATTCACTACGCACGATACCTGTTCGAACGTGTAACTCGGTCCCAGCAGTGCACACGTTCTATCTTCGCGCGTTCACGCAGCATAATTTTAGCCAAAGCCAAACGAAACGTCTGTACAATCGATATATTTAAAAATTTCTTAGCATAAGCACCCATTAGGATTTTGAAAATCTTTTCTTTTCTCTTCTATGGATCGCCATTTTTTTGAAATATGCCTTAAGTTAGGAAATATTGCTGTTAGTTGAGGTGTATGTTTGTGGGCGTGGTCGTGATGTAGTCGCTGGTGACGCTTGACTGAGGTCGTGTGAAGACCTCGGGAGGCAGCTAGCAGCTAGCCAGTCATATCCAAGCCTTCGTCTAAGACGGACAGGTATGTTGTGCTATGTATCAGTGTGCAAATATTTGTTTTTGTTTGCACGTGTGATCTAGTTTATTGTGAGTCGCAGGACATGATGGAGCTTTGCGCATGGTATTCATTCACGAATGCGCATTTCCTCATTTATTTCGGTAGGAATATTAATTCAATTTTTTTTTTATAGTTATTAGCTGAAACAAATCTTTCACCTTTCAGTTCTGTAGCATATATATTGCTGGTGATAAGCTGACGTTTATTTAGATGAAGCGATTTTACTTTATAACATTTAGTAATACTAATACTAGATTAGAACACGTTAAATAAACAAGTGTTATCTATTCGGTTTATACGAAAATTATCTCATGGCGGAGTGGTGCATTTACACGATACATTAAATAGTTTAACTGCATAATTTTGATTTAGCCTATATACCTATCATGGTCCGATAGTTTCGCGTCACTTGGATTGAATTGGCAGTTAGACTCATTATACCTAGTTATACTAGCCTATATGATAAACTGCTTTTAATTTTTGCCGTCATGTCTCATGTATTTGGAAGAAATGTTAGGCGCTTGTTTAGGATTTTAATATTCAATTTACCTATGGTTATGGATACTGATTAGAAGATCTTTTAATATTAACTTTATTTCGAATCCGCTAGTTTTCACTCGAAGTATGTTCGTTTTCCTGGTATCGGTATTGGTATACATTACAGCAAGTACACAGTACAGTTCTATTTATTATCATTAATTGTATTTCCGTCGCAGACAACGGAGTTTTGTCGTGTGTTGCGTCACTCCCATTGTGTTGAGAATCGTATTCACGGTATTGTATTTATGGTTTAAAAAGAATCTCGTATACCGTAGAAATTTTGTATGAATAATTGCGTCGCGCCTGCCAATATTACTAATTTCTACCATGATTCGTATGTGATTTCATTAATTTTTGAATGACATTTGAACCTGGATTGAACCCGTGGCTAGTCAAGACTAAGTTTAGTGTCGCTTCTTGCAAAATGACAGCGATCCTAATCATGAAATAAGGTTCATGCCGCCTAATCGTCGTTCGATCTGTTGCATCCAGACTCAGGTGCCGATCTTTTTTCCTAAGAAATTTAAATACCTACCTAACTATTATTACATGTCCATTTTTAAAATTGTAAGCTCAGAGTGAACGTTATTTTGAAATTACTTGAGGAACATAATCTACGCTTAAATTATGGCGGAAACACCCTGTTTCTTTTTACTGATTATTGCTGATTTATGTAAACATTTTACGAACCTTCTTCATTTGCTATTGGTAATTGATTCGTTAGATTCGCCTTTATTTTGCTCATACTGTGCTGGTAACGTTGAACTATCCTGCTGTATTCAGCTCGAACACGGACAAGAACGAACACGTATGAAAGGCGGAAGGCCAACCATCACGTCCTGCCGGCTTGTACTTGTAGCTGACGTGGCTGAAATTGTAGCCAGCGATTATTATTATTGAACGTTTTCCTTTCATGTCTTACTGCACTAAGTTTCTCACAGGGATATTCGACGTACTGATCCACACCTCTATTAGTGAGGTCAGGGATAATCAAAATCAATATCAACACTTCATTTGTACAATTTTACCATGTTTGATATGTATTATTTTTAATTATCAAATTATCTTTGAAAGTTGGCGTAGTTCCAACGAGGTTGGAACTACCTAATGTTGGAACTATGGTTAGAACTATGTAATTATATGTTATTTTTTGGCATTTATTCTTACACAGAGTGAACTGACTCTGTATTTAGTTTTTGTGTTAGGTGAAACCAGACAGGCGGAGAACACAAAACTTCCTGACATCAACCTACCCGTTCATACCTGTACATAGGAGCTGGAAACCTGAGTGTGGTGACGCAAGCTGCGTCGCTTTGGATGATTGCTCTTTTGAAAGCCCTTAAGCATGTATAATAGAAGCGAGATCATGGGATGATGTGTGATAGCCAGAAATATGTTATTGTTGAGCAATGGAGTTTTATATATTGAGAATTGTGCGCGCGATTGCTCAAGAATGGTGCTCGGAGTGTCTGAAGACTGGAGCGTGTGATGGCTGAAGACTGGTTGGTGATCGACTTTACTGAAAAAATTGTGTTAATGAGATTACATTTTGGTCTTGTTTTCATCAAGGAAGGATGCTATTAATTCTTCCTTTCAATAATTGAAACTAGTATTTTTGTTTCCATCGAGCTTCTCTATCATAACTTCTGTTTCATGTTCTATAAAACATGCAATCTTGAAGTGTAATCAGAGTAGGAGGGAGGAAACATCCAAGCTGTAATTATAATCAGACGGAATAATTCATAAACAACGCACTGCCCATGAAATCACGTGTGTCTCGCCGACTCATGCCGTCGAGATGGCGTAACGTGAATGAATCATTCACTCAGAGTGCCTCAGTGGCATGAGTAATCGGAAATGTGGAGGCGCTGAGTGGGCTGGCTTTTTTAAACAAATGTTGCAACGGCTGGCGTTTAACTGCAGAACGTGTCGTATCTAAATTCGGAATGATGGTATCATTTCAATGTAAGCTATTTTTATATTCGGTTATATGTTTATATTTGGTGTAATTGAGTGGTACTAAAGTTGCTTTTTCTTGATTTCAGGTCGTAATGGTGGCCGAATTTCGTCTAGCGAAACCCAACACATTCTTTGTGAATATTAATCCATCGAATAGCCACTTGAAGTCTGACGACAATCGATCATCCGAAGAAGATTCCAGCCCTTTGTTGAAAGTGGTCCGTGGAAACATCATTCGAAGAGGCGACAGCAATCTGCTCAGTACTCTGCTTGAGGCTGCTCCCGAACTACGCTCGACCATCATGGGTACTCAAAATCCCGAGGACTTCGAAAACTCTCCTTACTCCGGTCACTCAATGAATTTTAGCATCAGCAGATCTTCCGTAGATAACACCCATAATCAGCTTGGCCCGGGCTCGTCACATGCAGCTGGTCAGTATAGCGCTGATTCCAGTCGTCAAGACGGAGGCTATTCTCATACCAGCGCTGTTAGTGGCAGCCCGGGATCCCTAAATGACAATCTTCAATCAAATGCGTCAACTCCAACAACCGGTCCTCATATCCGACTTGCAGATTTTTCGCGAGCTTCTTCGTTCGGCATGAGTAATCAGGATTCGCAACCTCAGTTTTATGCCCCGAACTCTGTAACGTCAACGGCAGCTTCCTACGGGAATCACGGGGTTGGACAAGTGCCGACTATCACTGTTATAAGATCAACTGAAACTATAGAATTTACTCCTAATTTGAACCATTCGCAGTTGCAAAATGCTGGTGTGGCTGCACACGGTAGCAGTCCGTATGGTCAGAGTGCTGGTTTTGTCGGTGATTCGCAGAGAAGGACTAACCGGTCGGTTCGCCCTAAACATCATTTAAATCAAAACGGCTTGTGTGCAAATTCGCCTTGTGATCACGGCGATCTCTTGAGAGACAGAGAGTCTCTTATTCGAGAAAATGAAACGTTAAAACGGAAGTTGAAGCTGCTTGCTACTACTATTAATGACGAAGAAAAACTAAATAAATTGTTACGCTGTTTGAGGGGAAGCAGAGCACCCACTTCGTAACTTGTACTTTTTGGCAAATTGGTTTTTCGCCAATGATAATTCGGGCGTTCAATTCAGATAAAGATCTAAATTGGCTTTTCACTGAAATATCATTATTGGAATAATGTCAGATGCTGTTTTTTTTCGTAGATCGTTATGAACAGCTTGCAGTGAAAAGAGTGCCGTTGATTTATAGACTGCGTCAAGTAAAGTTATTTCAAATGGTTCTGAACTCAGGTATTGTAATTTGGTGTAGAATATAATGAACATAAATTCACTGCGTGCGATTTTCTATTTTCAAACCCTTGTCACACACATTCTTAAAAATGCTCATGAGGTTAAATTCTAGTCTAACGATGCAAATTTTGTATATCTCTTGCTATTAATCATGAGTAGCTCAGCAAGACGGTATATTAGTTCATGTACCACTTCCATTGATGCAAACAACTGGTATAAATTATTATTAGCTTCAATAGAGGTCCTTTTTTTATGCTCATTTTATCAATCTTTCCTTTTTCCTAACGAATTTAGCGATGCCACCGAGTTGCTTATAGTTTAACACACTCCTTTTCCTCGAGTTTTTCCTCATTGCACTTGCCTATCATGATAGTATCCAAACTTTTGTTTGAGAACATTTGTATGCTTTGTGGTGTATAAAAATATATTATATAGAACTAAAATAAAACTTGAATGGAGGACTGATGTATCGAACTTAGCATCATACATAAAATGAAGTGTTCAAATCAATCGAGTTAACTTGGTTTTGGCTTTGAACATTGTTGACTCAACTCGTGTTGTTGATCGTAATTTAAGGCGATTGAGTCCCGTCTTGTTCGATCACGCGATGTTAAAGGAACTTGGTGCACAACGAGGCGAATTTGGGCTCGGCTCCCAATTGTGATCGATATTTGGTATCTTGGGAGCTGCAGAGTTTTATGACTGTATTCAGTTACTGTAACTGTATTCTTACAATTAATATATTATTTGGTTAATAGGAACATCAGTACGAGTAGTTTAGCGGTATTTATTAATATCTTTTTCATTTACTAACCAAAAATTACATGATAGTAAAATGATTTATTTCCTAGCTGTTCATTTTGTGTTGATTCCCCCATGTGTAACGATGTACGACCATTTCATTTCCCCTATATAATTACTTAAGGTCTAAGTATGAGGGACACCGCAACTGAACTTTATGATATGTACCATCTTATCGTGGTTGTAATGTCAATACTGATAATGAATATGAAAGTTGATAATATTATGTCAGTTAATCCAATTGTATTGATTTTCAAGCAAGTTTCACTTCAAGTATATGACTTGGGTTTTGCGCTGTTTGTATCACTCAGAGTGATATGACGCGTATTTCTATCTTCTTCTGATATCCAGAAGCCGATTTCAGCTCCATTTGTTACTTTGATTTTGTTTTACGGATCGTAAATTTCGCTGGCAGTGCAAAAGTGAATCATGTGCCAATCAAATATTGATGTTGGGATTATAGTTCTTCACGGATATGTACATTTGTGTGTGTGGCTTTAGTGTGCTGTGATGTTATATTGGGGACGAATATGTGATTTTTCAGTGGAAGGATTTCGGGGTTGATGCCGCTTATGTATTACATCGATAAGTTAGGCGACGCGACCCACGATATAATTGTCAGTTGCGCTCGCAGATGATTTGTGTTACATTAGTTACGAATTAATTTATATTTTTTAGTTATTGGGTGTATTGGCGTTTTACTTTTTTATAGTGTAATTAAATATGACTTCAATACTAACCCTCGAGCTTTTTTCCTATTCAGTGTCTTTCATCTTGTAAGTCTCCATCATTTCAGCTTTGAGGACCGCTTTTGAGCACGTTGCAATGTGAACATTGAGACACGTATTATATTGGGATACCCCTAACTGCTTTGATTTCCCGTTTAGCTAGCTTTATTTACTGCTCATTATACCAATAATCACTAATTAATTTTTGCGTTTTTTCCTTCATTATTAAAGTTCTCATCCATTGATCTCTTCTGACCCAATCATTCCTATTTTACCATTTCGGGTCATCTCGAAACTTTGCCGTAAACAACAAAAATGAGGTTCTGAGTTCAGCGAATGCTCTGGAAACTGTTGATTTAATTTATTTTGCTTTACTGGGAAATAAGGATTAAGCGCATTCTTTTCTAATAGTATTCCCAAAACAGAGATTGATGTTTCTTGGCAATTTAGTTGATGATGATCGATAAAGTTAACCGGCCACTGAAACCATGATCAGTTTTACTAGCTGAACTCGATATTCCCAGGAAATTCTTAGGAACTTGAGAGGTTTGATTAGATTGAATGATCGGCGCCTGGTTCTGGTATCTAGGATTCAATCGTCGTCCAGCTCTTGCTTACTGTGCTTTCCTTGTGCTCCAATTTCTTGCAACGGTTGTCTTAATCCGTCATTTCCCTTTTATCCGCCAAATATTGGATTGACCTCATTTTGCGCCCACTTAGACTCGAGTCGTGAACGATCTCGACAGAAGCTAATTGAGACCAATTAAACTTCGTTCATGTTAAATGCGACTAGCAAGTGCTCCTTAAGAATCTAAACGAATTCAGACAAGGCGGTCAGACAATAAATAACTCGCTGTGAACCAAGTAATTTCGACCTGCAGGTGTAGTTGGAATACTGAATTTGAGCTATTGCAGAGAGAGTCTGAGTGGCGGTCGTGTTGATGTTACGCTGGAAATTGTTACTGCTAAAACAATAAATCTTCAAAAAAGTTTGTTCGTGTGTTTATTAAAGTAAGTGCGTTGATTATCAATCCTGAGCAACGTCGTGTTAGCCCGCTAGTTATTAATAATCTTTTTGAGGGTTTACTGTCTTTACCGGTTGGGGTGTGTACATTTTATGGTAAACGAATCTCTGATGATGAAACGAAGGTAAATTCTGTTTGTATTTATTATGAGGATTATATTGGTGCTCCTTACATTTAGAAGTAGAAACGAATTTCGGCAATAGATATGGCACAGTTGTTCATTACAGATTAGTAATACCATGAAAGGGACGAAGTATGGCATCAAACCGTTAAATAGGTTAAAGAGTTTGCTCAGTATCATGGCACTCGAAGACTAGAATGCGATAATTTGAACTTCAAAATAGAAACTCCTAGCCAGGATATGAAACTAACAAATACGTTTCAATACCGCAATCTTGAATGGTGCCTTATCAAAAGCAAGGAATGCTATTTTCTGGTTCCGAAAATTAACAAGTTTGTATAATGAAGAATTCCTAATACTGTTCTCTTTCACTGTCTAAGGTCTCCGTTGATTGCCTTAAACCCGAGGACTCGAGACAGTCCAGCTCTCGGTCTTCAGAATCACAATAGCGACTCTCCTCATCTCTGGTGTTTAGTGAGCTTCCCTCTATGCCATCACGAAGAGAGGTTAAGTTAACATATATTTCTTGACCACTGCGGGTGTCGTGTGAAGGATTTGAACCCGAAGCGAGTGATTGACCTGGGGCAGTGAACGGCTGCTCAGATACTAAAGATTCAACAGGTTGATGCGCGATGCTTGCTCGCATTGCTGTTCTCCGGTCCAAAGAACGGCTGGAATCGAAAGCGATGAACGCTTCTCTCTGTTGAGCTCTGTCAAGTTTCAACGTTGAACACTGATAGTTGGGATGTGGCCTAACGTTGTTGCTGAATTGAGTACATTCTGCGAAAGAAGTCATCACACGTTGATGCTCATCAGGAGAGGGGATTTCAGTAGGAATTAAACGATTGCGACTTTCCGTCCTTCTTTCATCGGCCCCGCCAGAAAATGTCAATTGTCCTGTGTCTGCATGTGAAAACGTTGCTCTTTCATTGTTGTCGAGTGAAGTCGAACCTCTTTCATTGCCCTCGATTGATGGAGACTTCAATCTTTGATTGAGGCTGTCAGTGGCCGTCACTCGTCTTTGGTCGGCGGTGTGGGCAGAGGGCCCACTTTGGCTAGGGTATTCTTGCGGGAACGTCACCCCTCGATTCTGGTTTTCGTGAGTAGCTGCAACCCACTCAATATTAACATCAGTGGTATTCTCACTTGGATTGCCTTCATGCGGAGATGATACTCTATGGCTGAGATCATCATTTGAAAATGATCGACTGTTGCGAGGGGCGTTGGATACAAAAGAAGACCTCTTTGCATCATGCGAAGTCCCTGCGGTCGCGGGGACAAACTGTGCAGGACGAACTTCTGATGCGATGTTCATGACCTCTTGAGGAGGTCCGTGGGGAAAAAGAGCCTCGTAAGAAGGAGGATGATCTGCTTTCCAAATCGTCGCCCCTGACGCTGTGGCCGGCCATGGTTGCGTTGCAGGGTTGCACACAACTCTTACCTGGGAGACATAGGTCACGAAATTAGCATGGATACGAAGAATTTTTTATCTGCGCAGATGCTTAGAGATGGCCAGCATTTTTTTTTTTTTTTTGGCGAGATTATATTATGCTGGGCCATAATTATTATAAATTTTGAGAATGGTGAACCGATGTACAAACATTCAATCTTTTACCGCACACTAGTTTAAAAATTTACTCAACTGCAGAATAGTTTTTTATGAAAAATAAAAAATCGTGAGTGGGTGTAACTTATAAAAAATGAAGACGTTAACTAAGTATTCATTCGGCATTGCAACTATTTTTATGGACTTGAAATGGAAGATATAAATATGGAAGAGGAAATAGTATAATAAATGTTAAGCTAATTTAAAATTAAAAGTAAAGTCAATTCACTTGTATAGCCATGTGGGGGGCCGTCGAAACGTTCGAAGAAACTTCGTAACTCTCAGCGTAGGAGTTGAAGTCAGGCGGCTGGGCCTGTGGCTGTGCCGCTGCGCGCTGAATATGCGCCTCGCTATCGTACGCTGTCCTGATTCTCTTCCTATAAATGAACGCCGCGATGATGAGCACGATGAGCACCCCTGCACTCATCCATGGTCCTGTAGCTACGATCAACTCGTGGCTCTTGTCTGTGTAAAGAAGCAAGGTTAATCCTGTACTAACAGTTACAGCGTATGAAGAATTAAATGACAATAAAAAAATAATAACATTGGTTTCCCTGCTAAATTTCACGATTATACTGATATAAAAGCTATTTAAAATTGCGTTATTCTATAATGTTTTCCATTTGACATCTTTAGTTTCTTTACACTCTAGACACGAAGTTTCTCACCGCTGCACGAAATTCCTCACCGTTGCGGTTGCAGTTTCGTTCATCGGTACTGCGCACGACGCCGTACGAAGGACCGCAGTTGATGTGACCGTCGCAGAAGAGCGTGTCGTGAACGCAGTACGCGGGGTGACTGTTGCGGCCCTCGTACCCACAAGACCTTAGGTCGTTGGCGCACTCGTTGACACCGTCTAAAAAATACGTTGTTTTTTCAGCGAACGACAAGAAATGAGAGTTACAACCATGCGATCTTAAAGTCGTATTATTCTATAAAAAATGTTTTTAAACGGGAAGGAAAACGAAGAACAAAAATTTTTTTCCTAATTTTAAGTCAAGTCAAGTCCTCCTAGGCAAGTGCATACATGGAAGAAAAAAGGGGTTTCCTTCACGTTGTAGTATAACTATCGTGAAATTACTGACGGTGGAAGCTTTATTAATTTGTGATAAAATAATAGTCCGGTTAAGGAAACGTGAATGAAAAAAAAAAAAATAGAAAATGTGGCTGAGGAGAAGCTTTATGCGTTCAGACCAAAATGCCCTTCACACTATGAAGGACAGACTCGATAACGTTCATTAATGTTACCGATATTAGAAGCTGTTATTTGTCTTACAATGGTCATTTACAACATATAAACATGAATAAAAACATTCATGAATGTTACTGGCAACAGAAGCTGTTCTTATTTGTGTTGAAACGGTTATTCACGTTGAATAAACATGAATTTCGTGAATGTTACTGACAGGAGAAGCTGTATGCGGTCACAACAAAAGTGAAGCCCTTGTGTTTGAAGTTGCGCGTGTTCTGCCAAGAGTTCTCCCGAGGATGTCGTCTGCCGATCACCACTTGAACCATCAACTCTCGCACCGGCTGCAACAATACGCACGTCACTCAAGAATAAATTATTATTTTTGCTTTGTTTATGAGGTTTATATAAATAATAAAGTATGTAACAATTGTGTTAATCATTGTAATAAAACGTAACTATGAAGAAAATAGTTTATTTGTTATTTATATCACACAGCGCTGCAGAATGAATAAGATTATGTACTTAAGAAACGGAATGTATACTGGGTATCACAGGTTTATTTGTTAAGTTTCGGTACGATCTTCTATGGCCTTTTCGATTGTTTCCGAATTTCTTTTTAAAAATTATTATCAGCGTTGAATCTGACCTCGCACTGCAACGACGGATAAGAACAATGGCCCACAACAGCGTTGCTGTAGCCAATAGTGGGCAGCACTTGGTCAGGATGCACTGACCAGGAACCGCATTGTTCTTGTCGGTAGGGAGTTGAGTGTAGCATCGAGTCCGATGATACCACTGGGTTTGTTATCTGCATCATCATTGCCGTGTAAATTATTATATAAGAGAAAATATTGTAGGTAAATATAGTAAATAATGCGCGGATAATTAACATCCCTAAAAATACTACGGTAATATTAACAAATTAATCAGTCAATTAAAATTTGTTGGTCATACAATGACCTGATGATAGTTGTGAAAATCTGTTCGAATGTGTCTCGAAAAAATTGTTTAAAATTTAAACTGAAAAAATGGCGAATTAGGGACACGAAGGCATTATGGACACAGGTAAAGACTCGACAGCCATTGAACCTTCTTTTTAAATAAAAATCAATGTCATGAACTGTGGATCAGTTGGCTTTACTCATCAGACCTCGTGGAGAATGAATGGTATTTTTGAAATTCAGGTAGGAATACAATAATCATAAGTGATTCGCATGTCCATTGGCATTTTTTCGGACTAATATAATGTTTTACTAAAAGGAATTTATAGTATAGGCATGAACATCATTTAAAAGTATACATGCTATTAACTGTGGGGTTTAATAAGGCGTTAATAACTATTTTCACAAATAAAAAAAAAACAACACTAAAAACCAGCGTTTTTTAATTCCCCCCCAGGAGACTAACCGAGATGTAGTCCATGCAGACCGGCGGGGCGTGGGGGTGGTCTACGTCGTCGTATTTACGCAGGTCTATTTTCTCCAGCACACCCAACAGACCAGACCCTATTGAAGCAGGAAAATTCTTTCATAAAAATAGTTTCCAACAGGAAAGTATATTGTAACGAAACGTGTATATTATTGATGATTATTAAGGTTTGTAAAATGCAAGTGAATAGAAAAAAATTGAATACTTGGAACTGTACAATTTATGTTGAGTATATACAAAACATCCTCCTAAATATTCCATACTCCTATAGTAAGAGCACGATTGAAAAGAAAGAAACTACAAATCAAGCAATTAAATCCCAAGGGTTTGCTAATTCAATATATAATTCGATTTCTGTATCACCGGTTCTAAAATCGAATAAGGAAGGTTGTGAAAGATAATGTATAATAATTTAACAACAATTCAAGAAGTTTCAAAATATTTATGTTGAGAATGTACGATAAAATGTATGCCTCAAAATTTTCGTACAAAAATCATGACTGTATCATCATTTTGCTTATCGTCAACATGATTTTTTATTACGACAATTTTGTTGATCATCGTGGACTGACAAGCGTGTTTGGAGGCCTTGAACGTGACGACGCAGAACCTCGGCGTGTCATCGTACGCAGGTCGTGACGTGAGGCGCAGGATTGCCGCAGAGTTGGGGCCGCGGTCCAGCCAGATTGTGGCGTTACATACTTTCGGGTCTTCTAGGTTATCTGAGCGCAAAAAAATGCTTTAGTAATATAAAATACCACAACAATACGCTGCAATGGTACTGCTGAATGACCAGATACGCCACATCAATGACACCTTATTGGTTTTTGCTTTAATACACTATAGCAATAACACCAACTACCTAGTACAATACAACAAATGCCTAATGACCTAACGCACTATAACTAAATTCCAAGTTTTAATTCGCCGCAACAAAACTCAGAGACCTAATAAGCTGCCACAATAAAATCAAACGATCTAAAACTTTTATGAATGTAACACACAACAAACTAATACGCAACATAAATAACACCATGAGCCCTAAAGTGCAATATAAAATTTTACAAACACCTCTTGTCCTGCAATCACAATTCTCAACGACACATGACGATGCAAAAAAAAACTTGATTGAATACTCTTCGACAGTAATTCGCACCGATAAGCCACCACAAACTTACTCTAATTCATAATAAGCAATGCGATCAAATACGCTACCGATAAAAATAAAAGTCAGTAATGCAATGCTTTCGTATTTTTTTAGAGTAATCTTGAAAATCAATCAAAAGTAAGGAAAATGTAGAAAAGATACCTGTCGTAATGACGTTGTAGTTCAAGCTCTTTTCAGGACGAAAATCAGAAAGTATGAAATTGTAGTTTCATACTGAGGCTCATATGTCTAACAGAGCGCATAGAGTTAAATGAGCAGTCGAAACAAGAAGCCGGACTTAATAAATTAAATTAGAATGGCTCGTGTTCGCCAAGCTCAACTGCTACCTTTGTAAAATAGAACAAATTGTTTGTCAATTCGATGTAATAATACGAAAAAGGAAAGGAATCCGAATACCTACTATGCTTAATTTATAGGTAAATGAAACAAGTTTTATTTATACTCACAGATTTGGTAGCTGACGACGCATCGAGCTGAGATGGCGATGACGGCTAAACCAACCAAACCTAACTTTTGTACAATCTTCGTCATCGTGAGTCGTCAGGAAATTTTTTGAGAAATTTATAATATAAATTAATATAAGTAATTAAGATCACAATTTCGTTTCCGTGAACATCTCATTAAAACTGCTCAATACTTTGGTTTCAATTTGAAGGGGTTGAACAAAGTTCAATAAATGTCCAGGCAGTGGCTGTAGCTTGTTTTACTTCAAGCAGGATGCTGCCACCGAAGTAGGATGTCCCCATTATTAGAACGTATGAATGGAAGATCCGGCAAATTGTAGTTTTACACATCAATAAGCTACGCACGAAGGCATGACGCACAAGCAAGCAAGTCTTTCACAACATCAATTACTCCAGTACTCAGAAAAAAAAAGAAGTGCGTCATTCGATAATTAAATATCTCAAACAGCCCATACTGCATTTTCACGGTCACCTATGATCCCCAATCCCATTTCTTCACAGGATTAAAAACGAGTGCAAATCTTCAAACGCGCTGTGCGAAGTCCCCACATGAATGTCACATGCGACTACTGAACGGATTCTCGCAGAGTCCCGGGACCCGAGCCCGTGGGAGTGAGGCCAATCACGACTCTCGTGTATCCGCCACCTAGCACGAAACTTGCTCATATGTCTTATGTAAACAACACTTGACTGAGATAGTCATGCTAGTGACATCATTTTCATCGTGCAATTGAAATATTTATGTAATTTTATAATTTAATATCAGTGAACGGGGGAAAGTGTTCGTTCACGTCAGATCTCTTGCATTATCGATCGCTTGGAGGGCAGTTTGCTAGGGTAGCAGCGCATCGTCGCCACTTCAAAGCGGTCGCTGCGCGCGTTCTTATTGATCTGCTTTTCGGCGAGCTACCCAAGCGTAACGCTGTAACCCACGTTTTCTCGGAACATATGCATCCGTAAATTCTCAACTATTTTAAGCCGAAACTGCACGGAGAGTGTCACAGCTAATGAAGTGGATTACGATGCTCAACATTACTCGTAAGAGTGTAAAAATTAGAACTCAGTACTCACTGCAGTGAGTGACAGAGAGCGCAGTTTCTCGTCGACAAAAACATGAAGTCACGGACGGACAGACGGACATGGCGAGCACAATAGTGCATTTTTTCCATAAATGAGAAAATGGGCTAAAAAGGAAAAGAAATCAAGGGTTTGTAGTAAATAATAAAAAAAAAAAACGTGCAGATTTCATTTTTGCCTAATGGGAGTAATGGCTAACATGTAACAATCAACAATTTGCTCAGTTAACGCCAGCTTTGATTGCAGAGAGATGGGGCAAAATCTGCAGAGTTGATTTCCGATTTAATTTGGTCGATTTGTCTGAGGATGAAAAGTTACTATCCGAAATTTGTGAAGCTATTTTCTTGTAGACTAAAGAAAACTTATGCGTACCGGCAGCACTTTAAAATTCAGAGTTTCAGGTAACATTTCATTAATGAAATGTTTTTCAGCATTTCGTTAATTTTCATGAATTATTCAACAATTTCATCAATGAAATGTTACCTGAAAGAGCGGTTTCAAGGTAATTGAAAGACCAAGTACGTAACTCTTTCAATACGTATAATGACTTGTATTGCTTTCAACAAACCAATCAGGTACACAACAAATAAAACCCAGACGAAGCTGGTCCGGGGATCCATTTACATTCACTCGGAAGAGTTATCGTAAGTAGCTTATGGTATAAGGGAATTATGCCCAAAAAACGTGTAGCCTCAGCGAGAAGGAAAATTCAGCTTTCACGATTTTGAAAATAAGACTCCCTATGTACAGTGTTGACAAAAAGTTCCCGAATTATTCAACATTTACTCGCAAAAACGAACATTTTTAAAGAAGCGACCTTAATCCTCAGAAATTGCGGGGCCTCGGTATTTGAATTTACCATCTCTAGAAGCGAAAAATGTCTATATCGCTTTTGATAGTATAGTCCCCAACAAATAAGTCGAATCCTAATATTCCTGTAACCCAGGAGAAAGAAAATTACCTAATGCAAAAGGCCAATGACGAAAAACTTCCCGTATGCACTTCTTTGAATCGAAGCTAACTCCAAATATCATTAATGCCTCTCCTATCGAGATCTTGAACGTTTATAAGAAAAACATCGTAAACTGAAGCCGGATACTGTGCGAGACTTTACAATTAATTTTTTATGTGAAAAACATGTCCTATACGCGTCGTTGAAGCGAAGCCTCCCCCCTACAAGATCTTGAACGTGACTTCAGACACAGAGAAACAGCCAGGCAGGAGACACCCGTTCTCGACGCCCACTTGTTGGCTGGGATCGGGAGGATAGAAGGGCCCGGCGTCGGTAGCGTAAACACTAGGCAACCGCATCACCCAATAGTGGCCAGGACGAAGCTCTATTCCTGAATCACCACCAGCAATCGGAAAATACCTGTACAAAATAGTGGGCTATGAGACACAGGAAACTCATAATTCGTCATGATTATAGAGTGCCACAAAATCGATAGTTCAGAGATATAAATAACTGGATCTTGACCAATAAGCAGTCGATCGAGGGAATACTCCGATGATGCAAGTCTTGAACTATTCCTTTGAAACTGAGGTTATTAATTTACTTATTTTCTTAATTTTGACGATATGGGGCATAAAAAGAGACGCTAAACGACAAAATATGTTTCTTAAAACAAAAAGAATACTTGTCTTTCAAGGAGGGAAAAATTTGTATGACAAATGATTAAAATCATGAGGCACTCATGCATTTATCAGTAAATGAATTACAGAGAATTCATTGATTCCACAACAGGATATGTATGAAATTTACAACCGCCATTATATTACTCATTAAATACGGTTGTGAATGGCCCTTTTCTAGTGATAAGTTTCATGCGGACCAATATATGTACGTAAAATTTAAAGGACTGAGACCATAAACAATGAATCTGACCAATACAGTTGAATGCAGGACAGGGAACTTCTCTCAGTTATGTACTTACGTAGGGCAAGGGGCGGAGCCGGGCTGGATACGAGGGTTTAGTATCACATGGACAGGCGCTTTGGGGGTGACCACGTGCAGCCGCGTTAGCTGAGCCAAGTGCAGTCCTAGCGTCTTGGTCTCCCTGTTGGAGGGAGAAATGTTCAGCTGAATTGATCATCACAACTTTTCTTATAGAAATCGCGTCGCTGTTGATCTGCTTTTAGATTTTTGGCCAACTTTATTTCATCATTAAGCGACATCAGAAACTATAAATCTTGTAGTTTCTGTTCTTTATTCAGATTTATATTCCAGTTTTGAACATCTAATCAAGAGACTTGAGAAACAGAAGCCTGAAAGCATACCGACAAATACAAGGATGATAAAGCGGACAAATAGCGGACAAAGCAATGGTGCGTCCGGAGATGGTTGGGTGTCCCTGCTTCGAGTAGAGAGGAGTCTTGGGGCCCGACATTAGGAACCTGTGGCCGGCACTGCACTCGTACTCGGTGCCAATGAAGATTTTTACTGAGAACTCGTTGCCTTCTGGTGAGGAGAAATTATATTGTATTTAGAGCCCCTGCACTGAAGTCAAAGTTAGGCACAGACAGAGTAACGGTTCGCGAGGAGCAAAAAATGTGTAAATAAATGTCATTAATCAATATTAAAAAAAATTCAAATATGAAGACGAACTGAATGAAGCCTTTAACAATCGCACACATACGTGTCTGCAGTAACTATAAACTAATGAGATCTGTTATTCCTATTATATTCAACAATTTAATTTAGTTACGAAATGGTTTTCTTGCGAAACTTGACATTTGTGAGAAAATGTTCGACTCGTCTTTGCAATTTTGCGAAGTTGGAATCCTTTGAAAAAATATACTTAAATTTTGAATGCTTCACTTACTGATGTTTATTTTTTCTTTCGATTTTCTGCCGAGCCGTTGTTCTATAGCTCGCCAGTCGCTCCTGTTGTGTACTTTTACCGTGTAGTCCCACGGCAACAAAAAATTGCTACTGCTTACAAAACCCGGCTGGTCGATGATACCTGATAATGAAGCAAAGAATTATAATTCTGCAATTAAACACTTAGAATAACATTCACTAAACTATATTCAGTTAATGATAAATTTTCACAAACGGTTTTAAATTTAAGGACATATGACAAAAAGATGCTCAAAAGTTTTATCGTAAAAAGGATAAATTGAGTTTGGGAATATACCGAGCCTTTCGAGAATAATAATGTAAAATTTCACAGTAGTAGTAGTAGTAGTAGTAGTAGTAGGGAGAGGTTTCTAGCGCTTCAGATCAGTAAATGTAAAATTTCACAGATTTACATTCCAGGTTAAGAGATAAGAGAAACCTTGAAGAGGTACTTAAGGTATTAAAAAAATAAAGGTATTTCTATTATGGAATCTAGTGGAAAAGAATCAACGAGAACAGCAGATACCTATAGTATGAGAATAGAGCGACGAGGCACCGACACACACCAACGACCAGGACGAATACAGCGGCACAAAGTCAGGAGGCGAGTCGGACGAAACCATAGGATCCAGCTGGTGATGGAGGAAATTATTTAAATTCAAGAAATGTAGTAATTAAGTATATAGGTTTACGGAAAACGAAGGCATATAGAGGGACCGAGGCAACAAAAGAATTAGCCACGGGCCGTACTATCAATTTAGTACGAACTCGTATATATGAACTAGTAACAATAGTTACGAGTCTGCTACTCAGTCAGCCAAACAGTGACGGGCTAATCAAGCCAGACCCACCAATCACAGACGCGAAATCTGCCGCCTTAGAGTTAATTTGACTTTTTTGGACTTTACAATATTAAGGCCTTACTAGGAAATGATTAGACGATGATTTCTGGACCGCATCTTCGTCAGCAGTGAAGATCTGATGAGAATGCACCCGAGTAATTGATTGTTCCTGTTTGGCTCTTCCTGAAATCAAATAAGCGCTCAGGTTACAATCTTTGCGGACCTATTTATGGTATAAACGTGTACAAATGTTGTAGATGAAAATCATTCTAAAAACACAATGGTTGGGACTATAAATAACAGTTCCACAAAAGAGTAAAATTAACTATGAAATCACCGTCATTAGTATCGTCAAGTTGGAGTTCAGCCATAGCAGCAGCTAAATTCGAGGCAGTTTCCGCAGACCGATGATGAGGTTCGTAACCATCGTCCGGTAACTGCTCGTGTGAACCATGGTCATCGGTCTCATCGTCCTGGAGAGGCTGCTTCTCTTTGTCTTGGTCTTCATTAATTTCATGGTCATCAGATAATGAATGCTCTGCTTCGTCAGCAGAGCTATCTTCGTCTCTGATCTTGCTCACTTCGCTAACGTCAGCAGAAGACTCAGAGCCGTCCTCTGATCCGGGCAGCTCGGGCACCGACATCCGCTCCCACACCGACTGCGTTCGTCGAGGCATGGAGGATTTATCGCCTTTATCCGGAGGATCTGCGCCAACAAAATTACCATTCGTTAGTTCGTAAGAATCGTTTCTCCAGAGGATCTGTGTTAACTAATTACCATTCGTTTGTCTGTCAGCATCGTTTATCCGGAAACTCGTCAGAAAAAAAATATCCATTCGTTAGTTCATCAGCACCGTTTTTCCAGAGTATTTGCAAATGACCATTTTTCAGTCCGAGGACCTGCACCAACAAATTACTATTCATTTGTACGTCGGCATCTTTTAATATATTAGGTCGAAAATTTCCTATTACTTGAATTTAGACCACGAAAATCAAGCTTGACAGCTCTGACATGGGCTTTAATTTTTGGTAGCTGTCCGTTATATTGCTGATCATGACCGGCGTCCCTCTGCTATAGGATTTTCATTCCTACACCAGGGTAAATCGTGTCGTTTGTTGGTGCTAAAATATATTGTTTATACTATGAAATTCGTGAACAAAATACTAGCTTTGTATAATTCACATATTTATTCCAGGTTTTCTGTATCTACGACCTCATCATTCTCAGCTCCATCTCTCTGTACGCGTCCGATTTATAAGTATTCCTAAAGCATCCGAATCAACTAATAGTTCTCATGTGCGTCTGAATTATCATTGCTTCGTCTATTGCCGTGCCTGATTTGTTGCTTTTGTTTGCTGTTCATCTTTAAATATTTCACGTTAGCTTTGTTATTTGCGTTTTGAATCCAGTCCTGCCCGAAGCTTTACTTAATTATCAGTGAGGAAGCGTCTTACAAAATAGCGTCCGTTCATTGGTGGGCATGACAAGGGTACCTATCAGAACTTCTTACATGACGCGACCGGTCATTCAAAAACCTGTGGTCGGTTTGTCTTACATCGTTTTTCTAGACGATCTGCATCGACAAATTACCATTCCTTAGTCCACAAGCATCGTTTTTCCAGAGCATCAGTGCCATTAAAACACTATTCGTTTGTTCAAGGATCTTCATTAACAAAATATCATTACTTAGTCCGTTAGCAGAGACTTTTTCGAAGTGAATGGCAGCTATCTCGTTACGATTGTCATGCAAGGTCTAGTATTGCCGAAAGCATATTAATGAATCGTGAAACGTTTTTATGAACTGGAAATGAAAAAATATGACTTCTAATGCAGCAGTAGGGCATTTTCGAGGAATGATGCCTGTTGAGAATAATTCAAGTGGGAATTTCCAACTATCAACCTTTACTTATATTCAAACTAAGATATTTCGCATCAATCGTCGAATCCAGGACATGTAGTTTTTTTCTACTTTGTTAAAACTGTAATTAATTCACATGCAGCTGTTACTTCATAAAATAGATAGAAATAAATATTTCATTAAAAAACCTACTTCATAAAATAGATAAAAGTATAACAATATCTGCTTACCGGGACGTAGAAACGGCCCATCCATGACATGAGGCTCACAGTTCTCCCGACTAGGGAAACAATATCGCTCAAGTTGACCACAGCAAACTTCCTCCAGCTGAGCATAGAAGTCGTGGTTGAGGGCGCGCAGTACCACCGAGTCTTGCATGCGTCCCTTCGAGTGGCCGCAGTTGCAGTGCTTCACGAACTGCGCACCGAACTTGTGGTCCGGCAACTCCTTACCTGAACTAAAATTATAAATACGTAAGAACAATACTGAAAGCCAAACAAAATAACTAAATTTGCTAATAATTAAATACATTTAATCAAGATTCGACAGAAGAATAGAAAAATCTAGCTAATGATTAAGTATACATGCTAAAAATGTATGGTTACATTAGAAACTTTAACCTGGTCACATGTTAAAGTTTCTAACAACATGTCGTACATGGTTTTCATGTACGACATGGTCAAATGAAAACTTCAACTAGAAATCTTCAATTTTACCAAACAAAACAAGATGCGTCCCCAAGTTCTCGGTCATGAACCTTTACTCATGAATGAAAACTTTTTTACTTTTCATTCATAAACTTTAAGATACACACTTTACTAATAAATGAATCCGATGTAAAATAGCGGAGGAAGAAGTAAGGCGGGAAAAGCAGAGATTACTCTTTAATAAAGTTCTTCAGTACAATTCCTATGACGAATTTAGCATCTCTAACACATAGGAGACTAGCGGTTCGTGGAGAAACGTGGAGTGGTCGACACGCTTTAATATGAAGACTGTAGTATCTTAAACACGCAGGCAACTGAAGGCTCATGGAGGGTCGCGTGATGGTCTTCCTGCTTTAATATAAAGACTTGGTATATTTAATACGTAAGACACTCACGGCTCGTGAAGAAGAGTAGGGTGGTCTTGGCGTGGGCACTGGCAGATGTGTCCAGTGAGGCTGAGCTGTTCACAACCCAGCCGGCCATCCTGCCAGTGCTGCTCGCACTCCCGCACGAGACGCTCCTCGAACTCCTTCGTGAACGCGCAGGCGCAGCTCAGCCGCCGGTAGCACGCGATGCTCTCCAGCAACTGAGCGATCGTACACAAGACAGAGGTTACGTTAGTTAAACAGGAAAATGAAGCGATAGCCTCTCGCCTCGAGTTTGATGCTGTAACATTTAACAATTACTTCCGCGACAAAAATGTACTTGAAACTATTCAGAAATGCTATGGAGTTAAGATATCATGCGGTGCGCTATATTGACTTCAAGTGTTTGTAGACATCCAGACAATGGAAATTCTATAGTATGAGATGCAATCAAATTTACAATTGAAATGAAACAAGGCATTGGAACGAATTTACAATTGCACAATAGCTATAAAATAAAAAACGAAACTAAATTTCATTGAAGGTTGATTCAGCCAAATTTAAAACAGCTCTCGCTATATTCGGCTTCCATAATATAAGTATAAATTTAAGATTTATGACCATCTCTGATGATTAACATGTTTGACTTAGAGGGTAAGATCTACTAAATTAGCTTGGCAATTTTCAAGTTCAGTTGAAAATAGGCTAATCCATTATATTAAAAATTGCAAATATTTATTCCTTATTTATTCCTTTTATTTGGTGAGGATAAATCCTAGGAAATTTTAAGAAAAAATCGCATTTCAGAACAAAGAAAAAAACCTTGTCCTGATGCGTGTGGACGGGGTAGTGCTGGGGGACGTTGAACGTGTAGAAGCCCAGGGCAGATTCGTAGGCTTTACGACATGTGTTGCGTACGAATTTCAGCTCGCTGCTCTCCAGGGTGAGCCTTTCTAGCACGTCTGCTGACAACTGTAACATTGGAAAGTTAAATTATAATTGGAAATTAGCAATAATGATATATGATTACATTATATATGGTTGGTAGATAAACATCAGTGCATGTGATTAATGATCATTTTTACCCTTTGATATTTTCAAGTCCTAAAAAATTTAGTTTGTAGGAAATGCATCATTGCAAATGGCCGATTTTAAAAAAATGAAACTGTAGCTTATGATGATTAACGTGCATATTAAAACTAAATACTTTTACTTCAACAATTTCGATCATAATTTATGAAGATAAGAAAGTTTGTCTCATATGATTTTAAATATATTTTAGGAATGAAGTTACAATCTCAATAAGTTATTCATGAAATACAATAAAGCCCTAGTGCTTTAAGAATTTCAGTATTCCCACCTAAGAGATATTAAGGAACTTTCACCTCGTGTTCCGTGGAATTTGAAATACGAATCACAAATGAATGGTGCAGGCGACAGGACGAACATCAAAACAAAAAAAAAAAAAAAGCTTTGAGGTGTACAATGTGTTAATTCCATGAGTCAACTATTTCAGTGCGTTTCACCTCATCAATGAGATATAGACCATCATTCTATTAGAATCAATTCTCATTGACAGAGAACGTTAGCATGGAAGACTACCAAGCCAGGAGGCTTGGATATGGGATAGCTTATTAACTTCACTAATGACATGAAGACTCTCGTACCTTGTAGAAAATAATACAATGTAGACTATAATGAAATGTAGACATTAATTCACGACTTAGCTAAGTTAGAATGCAAACCGTTTCATCTTTTTCCGGAGTGATGAACAGCTGGTAGAGACGATTGGCAGCCGAGAGCCACGTTGCTAGTTTAGGTAACTGAAACGGAATGATAAGAGGTTCATATTCAGGATGCGGTGGCTTACAAGTATTTGAGCCAAAATGATTAAAATCATTATTTTATGAAATCAGTCACAACATGTGAAGACCTCCTTCGATTAACAATATCTAGACGACATTTCCATGAGTGAATAACTGACAAAAACTTATCTATAAATAGAATTTTTTTTTTCTTATGCTTTCTCACGCTAAGCCATCCAAACTAAGTGCTAAGTTACTTGCTAGTTAAATGACATTCAAATATAAGGAAAACAATAACTAAGTAACGCGAGGGTTTGGTTAGCGCTGGAAGCTCAAAAGCCCTGTATTAGGCATTTTTTAACACAACATTACAAAATAGCCTAACCAACTCACAACAAATACTGGGACAGTGTTGCTTCGTCCGACGTTGTCATCGAATCCTCCTGATAAAGCTGAGCTGATGTGTTGTTGCAGGAAACTTGAAAAACGACGCTCTGTGGCAACAAATTTTATAATCAATAGGTAATTATTAAAAATATTATTGTGTGTGTTGAGATGATCAGGACTTCAATGGTTATCAAATGACAATAAATCAATACCGAAACGGCCGTTATAGCTTCATCAATGAAATTTAATCTAAGAATAGTTGAAAGTTATGACAATGAAAATAAAAGGTTTGAACTAAATAAAATTCAAGGCTTGAAAACTTCAACTAAGTGGGTCGTGCTTATCAAGTTGATCATTGTCAATAATATATTGTGGGATTCAGGGAACCTGAATGATCGCATTGCTATGCAGGTGCTAATTCACACTAAAATGAAGCACGTTGGTGTTTTCATTATTATTAATATTGATTGATTGTTATTATTAATATTGACATTATCATAAATTAAAATTATTGATTCTCATATTCCACAATTTTTGAATATTTAATAAAAATTCATCAATTCATAAAACTATATCAATGGTGAAGAACAACGAGCTCACCGTTATTAGTCTCGCGGTCAGAGATGTGAGCGTTAAGGAGGTTGAGCGCGAGCACGTCAGGCAGGGCGCGCTGCTTCTTCCTGGTGACCGCAGCGCCGCCGCCGCTCCTCTGCGCCACGCCGCTGTCGTCCAGCAGCTGTGCGTTGTCCAGGGCGTGCAAGCTGCACCGCATCAGGTCAACTGCTGCTGCTGATTCTGATAAACAAAATAATTACTTAGAACTTATACTTATTAAAAACTAACTATACTCTTAATAAACCAATACATTTATAACAAATTAACTATTTTCGGTAATCACGACGTGTAGATTGCACAACTTTAGGTTGGCTACTGCCGACGCTGCCAATCATATGCACCAAAACCGAAATGACTGGTTTTCCTGACACTAAACTTCTATCTACTTTAAATATTTAAAATAAATGTTACATTAAATGTCAACATTAAAATTTAAAAGAAAATTTAAATTTACTTTTTAAATGTTGAAAAAAATTCATCATTTAAATGCTTTACTTCTAATCTAATTTTTACACAACAATTGATTAAAATTTAATGTTTCTCAACATAATAACATACCTTGAAAAGATCCAGAGCAGAGCTGCTCCAGGGCAGAGAGGGCTTGATCTTGAGTTGGTATAGACTGCTGCTGCCGGGAGACGAGGTACACATATTGTTTGCGTGGAGGCAATGACACTAAAGCGTTTGCCCTGTAAATAATGAATGCTCTGCATAATTTCTTACTATTAAAAAAAATAATAATGATGAATCGACACTTGGAAAGCTAACCTTATAGAAAAATCACACACCACTAGACTTAATTAAATATGCTGCGAATCAAGTTAGGTTACCTGAAGCAATTAAACGAGAACAGAAACATATCTTAAAAAATGGCAAAAAAGTTATATTCAATTCCCAAATTATGTACAGGATGGGCTATCTCTGGTTACTTATTGATAATTTGCAAAAATCAACTTCCCTTTATGATACCCGTGTCAACTGATGCAAATAATCATTATATATACACTTGATTTTGATTCAAATCAGAAAACTGAATTTTAAAATTTGGTTCAAGCAGATCAAAAGTATGACCAAAAGTGTGAGTATTTGGATGTGCTAATGAAGTAATGAATTTAAATTCACATTAAGCCTCTCTTTTTGAATTATTTAGTAAAAAAATTATATTAAATGAAAAAAATTAAGGAGTTAAACATTAATAAATAATTATGTCAATCAAATGCTATTAAAAGTGATAACAACAAATGCATTGCTCAACAAGAATCTAATTAATTATAAGGTAAGTGACGAATTTTAATCTACATAGAAACAAACACAGAACTAAAATAACATACGTGTTGTTTGTGATTATCCAAGTTCGTCTCATAAGTCTGTAAATTTGGTCCTCAAGGCTTCGTTCCACGGTGCGCAGGGCGTTGTCTACACTCACAGGTTCCCTGGAAAGAAAATATCGGGACTTATTTAATCCAATTATTATTTAACCGCAATTGCATGGGTGAAGTATGGAAAAGTAGTACCGGTTGTGAAGCAGCACCATTCCCCTCAGAAAAACATTCATAAATACTCCGAAAATAAATCATCACTCTCTCCCTACAAGTCAATATGTAGCTGCATAATTCTCACAAAAGAATAAGAATGCAAATGTGATAACAGTTCCTACGTTCGAGGTCAGTCGTATTATACTGTTTACTGTCTCATAAATTTCCATGTTAACTCCAAGCCACAATGGAGATCAATTTTTCCAGTTGATAAATTAAGCAAGAAAAACAACATTCATCAGCAAATCAACATGTGAAACATTTCAAGCAAACATATTAATTACTTCAGAACTACAGCAAAAAAATTAATACATTATGTTTAAAACAGACCCTTCAGGGCCAAGTTGATGTGCCAGTTCTTCAGCATCCAGGAAAGCATCAGAAAATAGGAAAAGCAGGCGCGGGCAGCAGAGGCGGCCACAGTTCACCCAACTGAGTGGAACATCGCCCACTTCTTGCAGGGCTGAAGACACGGCCTGCAGCACCTCAGTTCTGTCAATAATAGCCAATGTATATTACGTCGTACTGAACAATCATGGTAACTATGATATAACAAGACTCTCAATTTCCACAATGTTCCTGAAAAATCTTTAAATATTTGAATTTATAGCAAATAACTGGAAAACTAGAAAATATGGATAAGATAAGAAATTTATTATTTGATTTGGGTATGTATTATAAGGCAAGAGCAAAGCTGATAGGAAATTATGGAGAGCATCATAATGTGAGATAGAAATTCTCATGTATAATGGGTGGCGAATTTTAAAATATTGTGTTACCGTAGTTCTGCTAAGCAAATACCTCCAAGTTAAACAAAAAATATAAAGAAATATTGTATGAGAACTAGCACATGTCAACAAATATTGGATATCAGGAAGCTTGTACTAGTAATGGCAACTACTTAGTAAATTAATAGAATCAATAATCAACAATGGGTAAATGGCATTTTTTACATTTATTAATATGGTTCACCTGGAACATAGAACTCAATAATTAAGGTTTCAACAACTAAAAATAGAAAAAGTTAGGAAAATTGCATTTGATGATAATGCCTGGGCCCTGGAATATAGATGTTATTATAATTTTACCATAATAATGCAATCATTCATTTATTGTCATTCAATAATGCATATATGCAGCAAAGATGTCTCACCTAATCTCATGCAGAGATCTTAAAGTGGTAATGCAAGTTGTGTCCAGAACATGCGTTGTAAAGCGCCACAATACAAAATGTGACATGGAGAACACAAAGAGCAGTGCACGCTTATATTGCTGATCTAGGAGACTAGTTGCTGCTACCGAGTCCTGTCAACAGTAATATGAGTTATTGTACATCTTCAATTATGACACCCTAATAGAAACTAACTATAATGCAACAAAATATGATGTCAATGATAAAATGTCAATGACGAAATGTCAATCATGAAATGCTATGGAAGAAAATGGATGTAGAGCTTTTGATCACATGAACATGAAGTAGCATTATGAGGAAACGTACAATAAATCATACAAATTTATTAGAGGTATTACAGCGCATTTATGATGAAGGATTAGAGTTAAAACTATAATCCAAATGAAAAATTTATATTAAAACTACTTCCAACAAAAACTCACATTTATACAATAAAAAACTAATTCAATAAAGATGGTGCAATCAAGTAATTATCTTGTTACCTACCTTCTTCTCATACAAATCATTGACTGCCTCTGAGTTTAGGAAGGCCTGGTCTTGGCAGCCCACCAGATGAAGAAATACAACACGCAATGATTTATCATACCAGCCATTTAGGAGAACCTGTCATAAAGACAATTATTGGAGACAAAAAATTTTAAATGGAAAATAACAACTGAATACAAACCACATTGTTACATAGCTCATAAAACTTGCATTGGAGTTACATAAATAAATGTTAATAATGAATTACCTAGGATCAACATAGTTATATTCATGATCCAAAGAAGCAAAGTTGAAGCTATGTAAATGTTCCTAACAGTGAGGAGCAAGTTGGTAAATATGTACATATAGGCCCTAGCTTGCTAGAACTAGTTTTTTTCTCAGAGGATCATATTCTGTACCAAAGAATCATCCAACTGCAGAGGTTGCAGATGCAGAGGTTTAGAAATGCTATAGCCAAGCATCAGCCTAAGAACAGCAGCCTTGTCACAACCATCTTCCAGTTCACTTTGTCCAACAATGGACACGACAGCAACAGACTCATCACCTACAATTAGTGACCTGCACATGAATACAAAATTGATAATAGAAGTGGAAAATTCAATTATTTCAGATAGCAAAGAATTAGAAAAAACAAACAAACTGGTTTAGTGGCAAAATAATTAGGATTGAATCAAATATTCTATGCATTTATATATGTTTATTTATTTTTCATCAGATATTTAATCCTACAATATTATATTTCTAATCTATAAGTTGAGACATTTGCATCCAATATTTAAAAAAGATATAATTTGTCAATAATAATATATGCAAATAATGATTCAAAGTAGTAAGGAAAACTAATAATATAACAAATTTATCCCCTTAGTAAATTCATTTAATTTATCAAAAGGTATGTACTTTATATTTTTCTGATTAAAACTTAATCAACAGATTATCAAGTACTTACCCATTATCTATTTTGAAAGGTATCTGAAAAGGACCAGTAAAAATTTCCTTCATTGCTTCAAGTTAACTATCCTTATCACCAAAAAAATAAAGAGGATATTTTTGCTGCTAAAACTAAAGTATTAAATGTTACAGTATTGACTGTCAAGATCTGTATGGATGATTGTAACTGTGGAGACTGGGAGAGGAGATTTGTTTTAGCAGAATAAGTTGAAACACTTCTTTTTGCTTGCTATTAAACTTATGTGTAACAATTAACATGCACACAAAGTTTGTTTGAACCAGACACCATGATAAATGCTTTGTAGAATAATAATAATAAACACAGTTCATTGACTTTATTCTAAGATAATGTATAATAAAATATCATTAACAAGTAGAGAGCCACCATTTTTGGCAAATATTAATTTATTTGGATGTAAGCTAATAATCTTAATATGTATCTAGTATTTTTTATTTGTGTTTAGTGTTAACTTTCCACCTAACCAAAGTGGTAAAAATTGGTCCATTCTTGACTTCTTACAGCCATTTCTGAGTTTCTTTAGTGAAAAGTAGGAAAAATAGCCTATTTTTACTTGAAATTCACATAATACACATGTGAAGAAATTATTCTAACTTGATCACTTTAGGAAACTTCTCCTTGAAGTTCTTCCCAATAGAATTTTACAGTGCAGTTTACACACTCAGAATAAAGTCATTCCACAGTACACAGTCCACACCAATTACCAAGTGGTCTAAATTTGAAAAAAGTTCCCACCATGGCACCATCAGGCATCATGGGCTCAAATTTTCTTCAAATTCTAACTATAGTATATCTGCATGTGTCAAGCTAAAATGTGTTTCCCAAGATTTTGGGCCTTTAAGAAATAAAGTAAAGCTTTACAAATTGGTAAAATAGATAACAGTCAAAGTGCACAGGCGTTTTTATCTCCTTTGCAGCCTTTCAGGTGGCTTTTTGTTGACAGTCTGACCCCGATTCTCTAGAATTTAAAGTGAGGGTGAACCTGGGTGGTCCATGATTGGACAACTCCAAGTCCTGGAGTTGTCCAACCATAGAGAAGTTGACAAGACTACTGACTTACCAAGTTCCATGTTTATGCAAAATTTGATAAACAGCTATTGCACATTCATTACAGTTAACTAACTCAACTTTCAAGCTAACTTCCAATCATTAGTGAAAATCATATTGAGGTGAGTCTGGTGAGAAGTGAGAACTACGGTTTTTCATTTCAGCAAGGTTACAGCAGCCATCAGGGAGCACCTGCACCACACATCACATGATATTGGTTCATTTTGATAACTGGGCATTAATGAATAACAATTAAGCAAAACCACCTAACTATTTTGATGTTTTCACAAAATTGTAGTTCAGTTTGTATACAAATCACCAAGCCATGGCCCACAGGAATGTTGGTCGCACACTCGCACTTGAATGCCAAGCAGCAAAAGGCACTGCAGCTGGATGAGAGGCAGCTGGATCCAGCTGCAGCTGGATCTGTCTTCTACTTCTCATTTATTCTTAGAGGAGCAGTGGAAACTGGTCCATGCAGCCCCTTCCCCCTTGCCTAAACTAGGTATAGTTTTTGTGATATTGTGCCTAATAGTCATATGACATGTAACATCTGTATCTGTAAGAGACAGAAAACACACACACGCACATGCACGAGAAAAAAAATACAAGAAGAATAATAACAGCAAAAAGAACAATAACAAGTGAAAAACAAATTGGAGAGAGAAACAAATAAAATAAAAGAAAATGGTTTAAGATAACAATAACATGGCTAAATGTTAAGGCACAGAGCAGGTAAAGCCTATAGAGGATACAAAATTTAGCATAGGCTCTAGAGTAGAGATTAGTCAGAGTACCACATTGACAGTGCGCTCCCAGCCCGGTTAGTTGTAGTATCCATGCTTTAATCTAGAGTAAACACACCATATTCCGACACATTAAGGATGTACCAAGAAATGAATGGCTATAAAAAGATCACCATATGCGCAACTCGAGTTCTGATTGCTTTACGTTGTTGCCGGGTCTAAAATGTCTCGTGCCACAGGTGAGATAAACCTGTTATCTGCTTCTAACTAACTGGCAACAACCCTACTCTGAATGAAGGAAAATGAAAGACTGGTTCTAATGCAAAATGAA